AGACATGGTTTTATAGTCATTGTTACGTCACACATTGAAAGACGTACGTGTCACACAGAGACAGTGCACATCATAGTCCAAATAATCAGAGTCCTTGTATAGTCCTGCATGTAGGCCATATTGCTATCTAATCCAAACAAAGCTATACCCAATTCATTTTCTAATGAGTTCATAAAAATGCGTAGTACTGCGTACACGTTGTATTAAAATTCGTAGTTTAATTGAAAACTTGAGCTCATTGATTCAGTTTGTGTATGAATTCAGGCCGTAAAAAGTAATGACTAGAAACTTGAAGTGACGCTAGCTCTCCTCCAATCACAAAATGAGGAGCGGCGCTGTTGCAAACAGGCCACGCCTCCTCTAGCGTCTGCAGCGCTGGTAAACACAGCATTATGTTAGCAGAAATTGGCTATAACTCCTCTGGCCGTAACTGCAGACACAGCAAAACAGCCCAAACGTTTTAACAAAGAGGAAGAGAAGAGGGAACCAAAGCTTAAAAATGATCAAAGAAGAAATCAAGCCCGGGTGAACAAAGCTAGCTTACATTGTATCCTCCGGAGAGACCTGCGGGAGCGGGATCGCCTCAGACTACATTCGGACGCAAAACTAGCGGTAATCTTTCAGTTATAAATTTTGTTAACAGTGTGTTGCTTTTGTACCATTTCATCAGTGAGTGTTGCACAGCTTACAAGAAGTTGCGCTAATGCTAATGTTTGCATACGTATAAGATCGCAAATAAAACTAGACGGCTTAGTGGGAGGAGAGAGTAGGGGAAATGAAAAACCTGTAAGCGAGTTTTTTCAAACTGAAAAAAACCTTGCTGAAACAGGTATAGCTCCTTTTAATGCAGACAAAGCTGATAAGCGCTAACTTGAACAGACTATTTGAGCAGCAATGTGGAGAGAAATGTATGCAGATTTTGTATGTAGCAGGCCTTGACATTAAGCTCGGTCCAAGGCCAATAGTGATCAATTGCTCACGAAAGCTACTTTGTTAAACAAAAGTAATTGTGCCAAAATGATCACATTATCGATTGTTCAAATCCAACGCACTGTTTTAAAGCAGAGAAATCCATTGCTGCAAGCGCTGAGAAAAGCGCTTAGGGAGCGTCAACAAATGTCAAGACCAGCTTTGTAAACGAACAGTAGCTTTAACTGAAGCCATGTACACGCACAAAACTCTCAGACACTATAAATAATGACCATGTCTAACTGCTACAGACTTTGATTTCAACATTTGTGAGTTTTTTACATTTTAAATTAATATATATGTTTTAAGGGCGACAGCGGCTCAGTTGGTAGAGCATTGGCCTTTGAGCTTGAAGGTCGTGGGTTTGAGCCCACCATAAGACCTACTTCACGACTCCCACTGATGTCTACTGTCGTTGTGTCCTTGGGCAAGACACTTCACCCCACTTTGCCCGAAGCCCCCGCTGAAATATCTCAGCTCCTGTGGACTCACCACCTGCAGGAGGATCAGTGAGGGGCTGGTGCTATGTGGGCTAGGTGCAGCTCTGACTGCCACCCCCCCGACCCAGAAATGGATTAAGGGGAAGAAAATGGATGGATGGATGGACATAATTATGTTTTTCTTTTTTTAAATTGCCTTATTGTGAATGGTCTTTACTGTAACATACATAAATAATGTATGTTACAGCATTTGTCCCTTTATTTTTATTTTTTTATGACTAATAGTCATAAAAGATTATGAAATGTAATTATTCCTGTGTAGATTGAAATTAGGACTAAAAAGTGCTCAACCAGATCCACCCAAATGGTGTCCCTTATTTTTCTGTTCTCAAGTTGGCAACCCTACTCACTAACCAGTGTCTTCAATTCAATCTGCATTTCAAAAGCCCCCATGTCTCTTTAATATGGAATAACATTGTATGCTAAAAATATTTTAAATACTGGATGAAATACTGGTGATTTTGTTTGTGGAGACTGGACACACCTGATTTTCAAAATCAACAAAATATATATATATTAGATTGTAGTATATAAATAAGTAACAATCTTGACTATTTTATGCAAGAACCTGCAAGACCTAATGAAAATAATTCACACATCAAATTATACCATAATATATACCGTTTACCGTCTGTCCCAAATTATTCCGCAACATGAATTTTAGGCCTTATCGTCCACCTCTAATTTAAACTTTAGAGGAGACCTGCGAGACGCAGCTCGTCACTCTGCTCTGACCATGTGGACGAGCCGTCGTTTGTTGCTAAAGAGCTTTAACCCGCCGCACAGACAAATGGGAAGATTAAAAAATGCAGTTCTCTGTGCGCAAAGGTGCTGAAGCTGTTGAGGGTTTTGCTCCGCTGTCTCGGCTCTGATCCAGTAGAACGCAGAGCTGAACTTAGGAAAAGTACGCAGCTCGAAATGGCTGTTATTTCAAAGAACGTGGAATATTTTAAATAACGCGGTTAACCGGTTTCAACCGGTTAATGAGGCTCTGTGGTTGATCATGAAAATTCATAGTTTTTTACATCCCTACTCCTGAGGATCTCTTTATTTCAGAAAGGATGCCAAAGATCATCTCTTTTCCAATGAGCTGGGATAGTACTACTGATTCTTCTGCTCATATTCTCCGCTGCTAAAGTACAATATACACATCTGTAAATACTTCTGAACCAAGTGCAATTACAGCTCCAAAGTTCATTTTATTTTTTTCTATTTTACCATCTTATCTTATTTGTATTATATTGTCTATCTTTAATGATAGACTCTTAGTGCTCTAATTTCCTTCTTTCTCTGCTGTAATGTGCACAACGATGGCACTTTTTCTCCACTGTGAGACAAATAAAGGAGTATCTTATCTTATCTAAACTATAATATATGTATACTTATTAAACAAAAAAGAAACCCCACCTTTAATTCCCAAGTTTCTATTGTAGATGTTTGGTTTAGTGCTTTCCCATTTCCAGTCATTTTCCAAACAATATAAACCCTGGAAGGTCCACATCTGAATTAGTTCTGCTTCAAGGTTCTCAACAATGGTCGCTCTGTATTTCGTTCTAATCTTGTCGAGAATGTAACCGATTTGGCGCCGCATAATGAGATTTGATAAAAACCCTTTTGAAATGACTTCACTTTCACAGGAAGAGCAGTCACTAGATAAACAAGCCACAAGGGTAATCGTAAAAAGCAAGTTTTTAAGCGATGGTGAATCAAAGAAACGGCCAGTGAGAGCTTAAGGGGAGATCCACTTTGGACAAACGCAACATTGTTTCTTCTTGTGTGGTTTGACATATAGATCATCAGTCTACGTTGCTTGTAGTTTGTGTGTCTGTTTTGAATGAATGTCCCTCTTGTTTCTTTATTGGAAAAAGTGAAAGATAACATTATTGAAATGAAGTCAAAACATAAAAGAAGCCAAATATTTTGTGTTGTGGGAATATAGCAAAATACAAAAAACAGCCCCGTTTCCACCTGCCCTGCTCTGCTCTGCTCTGCTCTACCTTACCCTATCCTACCCTAATATACTCTATTCCACTACTACTTGGTTGCATTTCCAGTACGCTTTAGCCTCTGGTACTGTACAAACCAGTATTTGTGGAAATTCTTTGGTAACCATGGCCTCCAGCAGTTTGAGTAGAGTAGAGTAGAGTAAGTAGTAAGTAAGTAAGTAAGTATTTATTTATATACCGCCTTTTCACTGCAGATTTGAGTCTCAAAGCGGTTTACAATTGTTAATTTTTTGGGCATTTGTCTCTCACTCCACACAGATGGGAGCGGGGAGAGTACAGGAGGCGCATGCTAGAACTATTGGACATATTTTTAGCGGTAGGGGAAACCGGAGTACCCGGAGGAAACCTACGCAGACACGGGGAGAACATGCAAACTCCACTCAGAAAGGCCCTGGTCCGACCGGGATTCGAACCCAGGACCTTCTTGCTGAGAGGCGAGAGTGCTATCCACTCAGCCACCGTGCCGCCCACCGTGCCTCTACTCCGTAGAGTAGAGTAGAGTAGAGTAGAGTAGAGTAGAGTAGAGTAGAGTAGAGTAGAGTAGAGTAGAGTAGAGTAGAGTAGAGTAGAGTAGAGTAGAGTAGAACAAGGCTATAAAATTCACACCCTTGTAAATCAGTCTTGTCCATATTCGTTGTGCTTCTGAGCCAGAAATGTGGGCAAATTATCTTACCATACAAACTGCAGTGTTCCCCAACCCGTGACACATCTTTGTCTTTGCTAAATACCAACTGAATTTGATACAAAATTGAACTTCTACAGACTTTATGAACAAAGCAAAGTCATTCTCACTAATGTGTATTATGTAGCAAATCAAACAAGCACAAACAAACTCTTTATAATCATCTCACATTATATTCTTTTTACATGATTTTGACCAAGCAGGTGATATTGAACTATTTCCAAGGCACAATTAACATCTCAAGTAACACCAATGTGCCACATTGTTCAAAGGTTTTAACCATGTTACAACATTGTTCATCATTAAACCTGGAGTTGGTTTTGGCTCCCTCCAGGCAAACATCAGGAATGTCTGCTTCTGCGTCTTCTATCAAAGTCCTGCTCTCCAACTTCAGGCTAAGAAATCATGGACAGAGCTGTTTTCTGCATTTATTATTGGTTCTTCCAAACAAGGCTCCAATGTGGGTGAAGCTTAGTTACATTTCCAGAACAAGTTGGAGCAAAACATTGTCAATGGGCACTTCCCTATTCGGCTTATTGAGCTAGCCTAGCAAGTTTGCAATGTCCATCTGTATAAAGTCTATGCTTCTACCATTTCTCTTTCTATCATAGAAGTATCCATTGTTCTTGTTTGTTATAAATCTGTGTCTATACCAATATTTATCTCACTATTGTTGTCAGGTATTCACTAACAGAAGTGGATTTCTAACTGAACCCAAATTCAAAGTAGGAGCCAAAAGTTGAACCAAGACCGAGATCTCAGCCAGGACTCCAAAAATCCACTCTCAGAACTCAACCGACATCTAAACCGGACTGGGAGAAAAAGCTAAGACAAGACCCAGCCATGGAGGCAAAGTCGGGACCATCCGGCTCCGGGCTGAACCTCGTGGCCCACCCTCGCGCCAAGAGCAAAGTCTGGAAGTACTTTGGTTTTGACACAGATGCCGACGGCTGCATCTTGCACTGGAAGCGGATCTACTGCCGCGTGTGCATGACTCAGATCGCATACTCTGGTAACACCTCCAACCTGGCGTACCATTTGGAGAAAAATCACCCGATGGAGTACGGAGAGCTTCTCAAAAGCAACACGGACCAGATGAGGGAAGCGTTCGTCACTGCGTACACAAAAATCAAAACTGAACCTATCCTTCTGCAAGTGTCCCAGCCCTACAGCCAAACTGCGCACCAAAATCTGTCCAATAATTGCAGACACAACGATCTAAGCTTGGCCATTCTTAACTTTATTTGCGAAGGCCTGTATCCAGTTTCCATTGTTGAAGAGCCGACTTTTAAATCGCTAATGACGATGGTAGATTCTAGCTTCACACTCCCAAGCAAAACAGACTTGGCCTTGAAAATGGTTCCTCAAATGTACTGCCGGATTCGCAACGAGGTGTTCTCGGAATTGTCAAATCTGGTTTACTGCGGTATTTCTACAGACCTGTGGCAGAGCTTGACTCAAAACCGCACGTACATTTCGTTGTCGATTCACGCTGTAAATGGGAATACCGCGTCCGGGTTTTCGATGGTGAATAAGTGTCTTAAGACTTTTGAAGTGCAGGAAGACAACACCGCAGAGAATATCACGCGAGAGATGTACGAGACGTTTGTCGAATGGGGAATCACGCATAAAGTTAGCGGCGCGACTACAAATGGGTCTGTAGATATCGTAAAAGCGTGCTCACTTCTAGAAATGTTGGTGGAAATGCCGTGCCTCGGTCACACCTTAAACCGCGCCATGGACGAAGCATTCCAGCTACCTAGCGTTGATAGCTTTCTGGGATGTTGTCGCAAACTTGTAGAACATTTCAAAGAACCCGTTTTGTACATACTGCGAGAGAAGCAGCAGATGTGCGGGCTGCCTATGACTACGCTCATCTCGGATAAAGGCAGGACGTGGCTAGCAACATTTGCGATGCTGCAGAAGCTAAAAGACCAACAGATGGCAATAAACGCTGTGATAATGCACGAGGAGAGCGGGCATCCTTTCAATTTCACTCGTTCAAACTGGTCTCTTTTAGAAGGGTTGATAGATGTTCTGCAACCGCTTAAAGTTGTCACAAATATGTTTACGTCTTGCCGATTCCCGACAATTAGCATGGTCAAACCGGTGCTACACATGATCATAAACACCAACCTGAAAACCAAAGAGGGAGAACTGAAGGAAGTCCGTCTAATCAAAGAGGTCGTTACCAAGGTTTTGAGCAACACCTACTCTGAAAGCTCGCAACAAGAAATAGCAATGTTCTTGAATATCGCAACATTCTTAGACCCGAGATACAAAAAGTTGCCGTTTTTGTCCAACAAAGACCGCGCTAAAGTAGAGTCCAACTTGATCGATGAAGCAAAAGCAATTCTCGAGAAGCAAAACGCATGCCTCGAAGATTTCCCCTTTGTGTCAGATGAGCCGCCAAACAAAAAGCAAGCCACGCACGATAACCCATTAGCCGCCATTTTCTGCCAGTCCGAGTCAGATCAAGGCCTGGAAGAGCTGAATTCTCAAGTTTTGGAAGAGATCGGTAACTACAAATCTCAGCGTGTGCTTGGTCTGAATGAGGATCCGCTCGTGTGGTGGTCCAGTCACGCTACGTTGTTCCCGACTTTGCCGAAGTTGCTGCAGAAGTACTGGTGCGTCCCGGCCACTAGCGCCCCCTGCCACAGACTGTTCAGCTCGTCTGGGACGGTTCTCTGCGGCAAGCGGAACCGCATCACGCCGGCGTTGGTCAATCAGCAGGTTTTCCTCTATGAGAACTCCAGAGGGTACTACGAGCCGGAACAGTGCGACGAGGAATTGGACGTTTGGGAGACAAGCTCTGCTTTGGTGCAACCACTGTAATTACAACTTGTGGATTCGGGGCGGGAATTGGGAAAAAAATTCTTATTTATTGCGATACTGCAAGTATTGTGATTCAATTCTGTGATATATTGCCATTCATGTCCCTCATATTATTCAAATACATAAAAAGAATGGAGAAAGACAAGCTCACATTAACTTAAGTGCAATTTTTTTATCTTGAACATTCAGAACACAGGACCTTAATAGAAGACAAGACATATTTATTGTCTGAATACATGACCTCTCACATGAATTGTGGCTTTAGATTGAGCAAATTTAAGAGTTACAATTGCTAAAGTATTGCTGAGTTCTTAAATCTAGGGTTCTTAAAGTTAGGGTACGTGACTTTCAAATAGGGATGCACTGATGCATCCGCTGAAGATCGGTATTGGCTGATGTTTGCCTTGTTGGCAATCGGCAAAAAAATAAATAGAAAGTGCTGATGTCAATGTCCGTGAATTGTGTAAAAAGTTTAAATACGACCGAATTAAGACACGATTGTCAATTTTAATGCAATTTGAGACAATATGTTGATGGTTCCATGTTATATGTGGGTTTTAAGAGTCAAAGTTTAGTGTAAAGTTTGGTTTAATTAGTCATCTCGACGAGCAGACCACTTCGACAGAACACCGGCTATCAGAGATCACCATGGCAACACGTGACACACAGTCGGGACGCACAGTCGTGACGCTGTGGTAAATTAAAAATCGGGTGCAGGTATCGGGTCCTATGGTATGAGTAAGCCTCTAGTACCTGATACCCGATATTGGTATCTGTGCATCCCAACTTTTTGAAATATAAAATGCCCTAAGAAATGGTAACTCCTGATGAATTCTATTTCTCTGTGGCATTAGCAGCAGCACACACACTTGCTGCTCCTTCGCTCAAACACACACACAACGCGCTCTCGTGTTGCACAATGGGCCTCATTTATGAAACTTGCGTACAGCCAAATCAGGGTGTAAATGAGGCATACGCAAAAAAAATTCACTTTTTGGCATTTATCAATCTGAACGTGGCCGTAGGGTACGCACAGAATATACGCCAAGTCAGGAGGTGGTGTAAACGTGTATACGCTCATTTCAACCTCCATTACAACACGCCAAAAACACACATGAAATGCAAGATTTGGACAACAATAAATTTGAATTTGCGCATCAGAAAAACTAACACTCTGGAAACACGCACATTTCAAATAAATCACAGTTCATGATGAGGACCCTCTTCTGTTTCTTCGTTTTGAAATCTGACTTGTATGTGTATTATTTTCATCTGTGTGCTTTTTTAAAAATGTGAAGCGCTTTGTGATCCTGGTCTGTGAAAGGCGCAATACAAATACACTTGACTTACATACTTAATGTGTGACCCGCCCTGCACTGCGTAAATACTCATGGCTATTTGTTTTGCCTCATTCAAAGCAATGCATTTTTCCTTAGTTTTGTGCATAAAGCCCCAATGGTCTCACTCAAAACTGTCTCAGCCACTGCCCTGTACGCCGCATGTAGCAGAGAGAGGATGGAACACGCTTATCTGTAGGAACGGGCTCACGGGCAGTGGCTCTTTGGGGCGGGGAGCGCGTATACATAAATTAGCGTATATTTCTTTTTAAACAAAATTATAACGTAAAACTCATTATAAACTCAGTGCGTGTCACTAACAGGCCTTTTGAGGCTTCCAACTAGACTCGCTGGCCGGCTTCCATGCTGACCTGTCGTAAAATCGGGGCGTGAAACAGGCGGTTTCTGAATATTTCTAGGCGTGACTTTCAACACCCGCAGGTGCATACACTCGGATCTCACACGTTCATAAATCCCACGTTGGGTCTTGCGTAATTTGAATCTACACTAAAAATGTACACCCTTTTCTGCGCAAGTTGCATAAATGAGGGCCATTCTGAGCAGGTGAACAAAAAGAAAAAAACATTGGCTATCGGCCAAGTTTAACATCGGTATCGGTGCATCCCTACTTTCAAACCACTACAATAGAACTATGTAATAAAATCCATTTCACTAGTTCCTTGCTCTCAAAACGGATTTCTTGTTACACTAGTTTTCACTTGCATGTGTTTTTGACCTCTGTCAAATATCTTTAGCCAAAGAGAGAGAACTACCCTCATTCAGCCAATCAGCTCTTAGCCCAAATCGTCAAACAGTGACTCACAGGGCTCTTTTGTACATGTGTAGAAAGATGAAGAAAGTTGGTTGTGGTATTTTACTCTTTTTGTTGAAGGAACCCCAGCTTTTGAGAAAATTTGTTATTGTTTTATTGTAGTAAAAATCGTATTGACCTGATCCAAAGCTATTCTTAAAGTAATATTTTATTTGGTAACTAATTTATGAAGTAGATTTAAATACAGCACATGTCGATACATTTTTATTTTCTGTCATGCATGTACCAACAACTATGAAAATATGAAATTTTATATTTTATCATGAAATGTTTGCATAAAAAGCCCTTTGTATTATGTGTAGCCTGTCTAGTGAATTCAGGGAAGATTCAAGGACAACGTTTCTGTGATAAGTATCATTTTAGGAACAGTATGTCTCTGTTATCGGAACAAGGCATGAGACCCAAAACCGGACTAGACCAGGCACAGACCAGGACCAGACCAGGGCCTCAGTCGGTCTCACCATATGACGTCATCGGACATTTTGATAAGTGTTGGTAGGACATTTTGTCAGCAGTCTGAGCAGGGACAGAGAGAGGGGACATCGCAGAGCACCTGGTTGTCCTCTCACTACATTTTCAGACCTGGAGGGAGAGTTAAAAATGGCTCAGCTCCTAGGGTTAGTTTGGGAAATAGAGCTCAGAGAGTTTTGTATTAGTATTTAATTGTAAAGATAATTAAATATTGTTTTATATTTAACTCTTGAATGCTTGGTTTTATTTCTGAATCAAATTCTGACACACGTCCGTCATGTTTTTGACAATATTTAGCTCTCAGTGTTACCAATTAGTGAACTTATTAAAGCCCTGGTCCAACCAATCTGACAATTCATAAACACAATGAGTTTAAACCTGTTCCACTTGAAAGCTGAATCCAGTGCGTGTATCCTGCGCTCATATCCTTTTATATTTTAGTTCAGGCTGTTCTAATTATTAAAAGGACTGTGAAAAGGAACTGTCTTCTGTGTTCAAAATGTTTAATATTATTGCAAGTCATAAGCAGTTTTTGTGCAAAGGCGATTTCTGTTTTAAACACTGTCAAAGAGAAGACGGCGTTTACAAATATTCAATTATTGACATCGTTGTGAAAACTTTCAGAGTAAAGACTTTTAAAAATGAAACTTGAATGTGTTGTTTCTTTGCTTGTTTTTCTGTCAGTGGATGTTATAGGATGTTGTGGTGAGACATGTTTAAGACTATTTTTAGGATTATCCTGGCGATAACTGGTGTGCAGTCTGTCTATGCGCTGTCCTGACTACACATAACAAATATGATTAAAAGTTGACGCTTAGAACAGATTTGACTTTCTTCTCACAGTAATTATATTTATAATAATATATAATATTTATTCTTATATAATATCCACAAATCCTGCTGTCTCAAAGCTCTTGTCTCAGTCCTGTACCACTGTGTTCGGAATCGGCACCACTGCCCGTTAGCGGGTCATTTTTGACCCAGAGTCTAACTCAGTCCTGACCACTAAAAAGAGAAGTATCACTCAATATAGTTTATACTACATCTTAACTAACATTATATGCCTTCAAAACCATATCATCTGTTATTGGAATTTATTTTTAAAATGAAAATTAGTTTTTTTCAATCATAATATACTAAATGTGAAATCCATAGATAAGGTTTTCTGACTATAAAATGACAATATTAGAAAATAACTTGTGAAATAAGTTTAACATATAAATATATTCATTATAGTTACGTTGGTGGTGTTATTGGCAAATTTGACTCGTATAGATTTGTTTGTAAAAGGTTTCTTCAGAAAACTACTTTATTTTCAAAAAACACCTTTTTCTGAAGTTTGTTTTGAAAATCTCTGTCTTGGATCTGTGATTTTGCAAATGGAGTTGGTCCAGGGGTCATTTTATATTTGCTGATGTTGCTCTGCCTTCATTTTCATACGGGTTTGAGACCAAACCTTCCCTTTCTTTGAAACAAAGAACCAGAAAGATGATCTGGTTCATCCAGTCTCTTCTTCATCTTGATCTGGATCATCTTCCACAAAATCATCCTCCTCCATTTCAGCCTGATGAGCTGAGTGTGCAACAAAACTTTGACTCTTACAGTAAAACCCACATATAAAACATGAAAACATCAACATCTCGCCTCAAAAGTGACATTTGTGTCGTTATTTGTTCGTGTTTATACTTTTTATAAAATTTGAGGACTTTATGTCCGCCATCTTGGTTTGCATTACATCATAAACCGCTGAGGCAGCGCAACTTGACAAAACACCAGGTAAAAAATGACCCACGGTTGTAACTTTTTTCCCGATACTTTCAGAAATGTCAAAATCATAAAACATAGTTTTGCTGTGTATATAAATGAATTACTACATGGTAATTGTTTTGAGAAGTCTCGCTGGAGATCCTAACACCACATAAGAAAAGCTCCTGAATTAGTTTTAGTCCTTTCTCACGTTAAATTACGTTTGTTAATCTGCCTCTCTCTCCTCTCCCTTCTTCTTTCTCTCTCCTCTACTCCTCCATCTGGTGGCAGAATACAGAGTGACAGGCAGAAAGCCTTTTTTACCACCATATATTTTCTACTGAAGATATTGTATTAAATGTAAAACATGAATTGACAAAGTAAAAAAGTAGTAGTAGTAAGAGCTCACAAGAAGCACACGAGTTCAATACAAGCTGCGTCTGAACGAGCTGTAAATGCTTCATAAGGTTTAACCCAGAGCACACATGGTTCCACATGGTTCCACATGGTTCCACATGGTTCCACATGCTTCCACATGCTTCCACATGGTTCCACATGCTTCTACATGGTTCCACATGCTTCCACATGCTTCCACATGCTTCCACATGGTTCCACATGGTTCCACATGGTTCCACATGGTTCCACATGGTTCCACATGGTTCCACATGGTTCCACATGGTTCCACATGGTTCCACATGCTTCCACATGCTTCCACATGCTTCCACATGCTTCCACATGCTTCCACATGCTTCCACATGCTTCCACATGCTTCCACATGGTTCCACATGGTTCCACATGGTTCCACATGCTTCCACATGCTTCCACATGCTTCCACATGCTTCCACATGCTTCCACATGGTTCCGTCCTCGGTCAGTTTGATGTTAGTGAATGTCTTCCCCCAGTTTTACCGTCTCAGAGCGGACGTGTGGCCATCGTCACCGGGGGAACCAGAGGAATGGGACTGGAGACCGCCAAACAACTGCACCAGCTGGGCATGCACGTCATCATAGGTACAAGGACACTACACCAGAGTGGACCAGAAATACTAGTATTTTCACAATATAACATGGGAAAAGTGCAATCCTTGTAAAGAACTGTAATGATCTGGTGCATACTTTGGACTTTTGTGCATGTATTCCAATGTGGTTTTACTGCAAACAAACTGAATCTGAGTTTTGCAAAATCCAACCATTCAAGATGTGTCCATTTCAACTTCTGAAAAGACTTATTGGTTCCAATCTCAGTGAGACTTTGCACACTGTAAGGATCCATGGAAAAAGGTTTAATTGAAATTGTATTTAAATATGCAAATGAGCTCAACACTACCAGTTATTACTTACTCATGTTCCAACCACTCCCTCTGACTCACTTTCAAGCTGGTAAGTTGTAAATGAATGTTTGAAAATATATAAATAGTAAAAAATGTTGACTCATGATTCAACTATTTATTAAAATACTGGGGAAACTGAACCAATATTAGGTATTATTAGATATTTCATCTTGATTCAGGTAAATGTTTAGATCTAGGCCTTTTTCTCATTCCAAGTAAGGCATTTCTTCCATCTTGTACATTTCTTACACATTCCTGCTTTCCCATTGGCTAATCTTGTTTTAGACCAATAGCAAAATTCCATAAATACCAAATTCAAGCAGTTTTTTTTACTTACTTTGAGTCATTTCCCCCCTGTGCAGCAGTAGTTCTCTGTATTGGACATGTATCTTGACAAACTAAACTAAACTCTTTGCCTGCACTGGATGACCAAGACTGTGGATGGAGTAGAAAGATTAGCTTTAGTTATTTCTATTCTGACAGTTTCACAGAGACATTTATCTAGTGTATTTCAGATTCAGTTCAGATTCTCGGAATTTGCCATCTGCAGTAAAACCACATTAGAATAACTGCAAGCCATTCATAGGGATATCTAAGCTTCAAATGGTTCATTATTAAGTATTTATGGAAAACAGCATTCTCTGGGACAAAAGGGAAGTTATTACAGTGTGCTGAAGACTGTGGGAATGGGGCTGCGTTCAGTGAGTTTAGTTGCAAAATTGGAGGAAAATCAATTGAACTTCTGTCTTTTTAACTCAGTGTTGTAAAGATTTGTGTGTTAATAAATAAGGATATATGATGCTTTAGTTGGAAACGAGAGAGAGGAGGGCGAGGAGGTGGTGAAGAAACTCAACGCTCAGAACAACCGCGGAGGAAAAGGTAAATTCATCCACAGAAAACTGCTTTATTTTAGTAGATTCAACCCATTTTTGTTTTTTTTTAAAATATATATATGTTTGAGTTTATATGAACAATTTGCTGTATTATTTGTTATATCTATTGTACACTTACTTACATTTAAAAAAGTCTTTCTATTAAATATGTCAAAATGTATCCATTCCAAGATCAAAGCTGCATTCACATCTGTAGCTAAGTTATTATCGATATTTTAATTGACTTCTGCACTGAGACTTGCCCTCTGGTAAACATTAAAGCATTTAAACGGCATTAATCCAGTTAGCAGCGTGTTTCCGTGACCAACAGCGCTGCGTGGGTTTAACAGTGGTATTTTAGCGACACCTGCTGGACAAAAGCAGGACTACAACTGTATAGGCATGGTGCGAATGAATGGAACGGGCTTTTATCTTACAATTCTGTGGAAAAGTTTCTCAAATAATAATGTAAAATGTTAAATATGTCATACACACATGGTACTATCTTTCTTGGCTCACACTTAAGTTTAGCCCTCACTAATTAACAGTTAATCAAGTAGTGTGAAATGTAAGCTTAATCAGCTATATATATTAAGCACTTATCAGTTCTTATTCTACATGGCCTTATTCAACATCTGCGATAGCGACCAGAGAGAGAGACCAGAGAGAGACCAGAGAGAGACCAGAGAGAGACCAGAGAGAGACCAGAGAGAGACCAGAGAGAGACCAGAGAGAGACCAGAGAGAGACCAGAGAGAGACCAGAGAGAGACCAGAGAGAGACCAGAGAGAGACCAGAGAGAGACCAGAGAGAGACCAGAGAGAGACCAGAGAGAGACCAGAGAGAGACCAGAGAGAGACCAGAGAGAGACCAGAGATAGACCAGAGAGAGACCAGAGAGGGTTAGGATTAGGGTACACTCATTAGCTCTTCATTAGCTGTTAGTGATTGCTAATCCAAAGCGTGACCCTTTGTTGTAGGGACGTTTGCTTAAAACGTCTTATAATTGTTTGTGTGTTTGTGTTTTCAGTTGAGTTTGTTTTCTTGGATCTGACGTCTTTCAAATCCATTCGACAATTCGCCCACAGCTTCAAGCAGAGGAACCTGCCCTTACACGTCCTCGTCAACAACGGTGAATATCAACGTGGATTTAACTCAAACCGGAGAACTGGGTCAGAGTTTGAGCCTAAAGCACAGACAAACTAGTTCTGGTTCTAACAGTAAACTCCTTTAGCTCCGTATAGTTTGGAGAAAAGAAAAGCCATCTTGGGTCTAAAAATTGGATGACATGGATAGCACGTTATCAACAACTGTGACCCCACCCTGGAGCCAGGCCTGGGGTCAGGGATTGTAAGCAAGCCCACAGGGCCCGGCCAGGCCCAGCCCGAAGGGACAATGTGGGAAGGCCATCCCACCACCCACAGAGGGATCTGTGGTGGAGAGGTGCAGAGAGGACTGGGCGGCAGTCAAAGGCGGAGATCTCGATGACCCAGTCCACGCACACAGCATCTGGCTGTTGGGATGTGGAACGTCACCTCACGGCGGAGAAAGAGCCCGAGCTCTAGATTAGCCGACCAGTTGACCTCACCTCCACATACAGCTTGGGCTCTGAAACCAAACTCCTTGAGAAAGGTCGGGCGCTCCATTTTTCTGGTGTTTCTTGCGGGGAGAGACGGGGAGTGGGGGTGGCCATACTCATGGCCCCCATCTCAGTGTTGGAGTTCTCCCCGGTGAATGAGAGGGTCACGTTCCTGCACCTCGGGGTGGGATAAATCTCTCACTGTTGTGACGCCCAACGGGCCGAACAACAGTGCAGAGTACTGGGCCTTCTAGGAGTCCTTGGGAGGGGTACTGGATGATGCACCAACTGTGGTGGTCCTCCTTTTTTTCACTTATCTGTCTGAAAAAGCTGATCTGACAGAGGCCAGAAATACACAAAAACTAGTGATAGCAGTGTTTTAGAGATGGGAACGAGAGACATGGATTGTATTGCATTGATCAGTTGTGTGTAGCTGTAACCTCTCTCTCTCCTGCAGCCGGGACGATGCTGGTCCCTGAGCGTCAGACGGAGGACGGGTTTGAGTTTCACTTTGCCTTGAACTATCTGAGCCACTTCCTGCTCACCAACCTGCTCCTGGAGACACTGAAGAATTCTGGGAAACCAGGACGATCGGCTCGAGTCGTCAACATGTCCTCCGCCACACACTACGCTGGAGTGATAGAGCTGGAGGACCTCAACCGACGGTGAGAGGAGGAGAACGGAGGATTAGGAGTGAGGAGGACGAAAGAGGAGAAGAGAGAGAGCAAGAGGACTGAGAGCATAGATCTCTGAAGCATGTTACAATCTCTGTCTCTGCTCCAGTCTCTGCTTCAGTCTCTGCTCCAGTCTCTGCTTCAGTCTCTGCTTCAGTCTCTGCTCCAGTCTCTGCTTCAGTCTCTGCTTCAGTCTCTGCTTCAGTCTCTGCTTCAGTCTCTGCTTCAGTCTCTGCTTTAGTCTCTGCTTTAGTCTCTGCTTTAGTCTCTGCTTCAGTCTCTGCTTCAGTCTCTGCTCCAGTCTCTGCTTCAGTCTCTGCTTCAGTCCTGGCCTGAGCCCTTCTTCAGTCCTGTTTTGTCTCATCTCCTTAGGGCCCACTACAGCTCCCATGGTGCGTACGCTCAGTCCAAACTGGCCCTGGTCCTGTTCTCGTACTCGCTCCAGGACCAGCTAAGCTCCGCAGGCTTCAACGTCACGGTGAACGCGGTGGATCCAGGAATGGTGGACACAGCGCTATACGACAACCTGTGGACGTTAGCGCAGATGCTAAAGAGGCCAGTCGCCAAGATCCTCTTCAGGGTGAGTGAAGGAAAGCAGAAAGAAGAGTCTCCCTTACAAGTCTCTCTCACTCTACTTCTTTTTTCTCTCTCTGGTCTCCCACTCTGACCTCTTTCTCTGGTCTTTCACTGGTCTCTCTCTCTATGGTCGGTCTATCTCTGGTTTCTCTCTCTCTCTGTTTTAACAAGACACGATTGAAGGAAAGCAGATAGAGGAGTTGTTTTAACACACTTTACCACAGCTCGAGTTTTTCCTAGTTCCCAATCTCAAGCAACAAGCTGTGTCCATGTTGTGTGCTGTTCTTTGGCTTCGGCTATAATAGGCTTTCTGGCATAAAACACATATTGTGGTGGTTTACATAATTCACCCATGGAACTGTGGTTACTCTGGTGGGGTTCCGGGGGGACAGGAAAAACGGTTGCACAGTTTTCCCATGAGAAGAAATGTTTTTTGGTTGTGTGAGGAGTTCTGTTACACTGGCTGTTTTATGGCATTAAAACGTGTACGTTTGTCACCGCTGTTTGACACACCGCCTCCGACTCCGCTCCTTACGCACCACATTGGTGACCCCGACGTCAGTCCCGCAGAAGTTTCTGGGACTGATCAAGATACAGAGCAAAGCAGTATGGCGCAGTCCGCCGCTCTCAAGCTGCCTGAGTTTTGGGAGACGTCCGCCGCAACGTGGTTTGCTCAGGCGGAGGCTCAGTTCGCCCTCCGTGGAATTACTGACGATGACACGCGCTATTACCATGTCGTCTCGGCGTTCGGGAGCTCCACGGCGACCAGGGCAGTGAGTTTCATTACTTCTCCTCCAGCCCACGGGAAGTATGCGGGGATTAAGGCATATCTGCTGAAGATTTTTGAACTGTCACGATCCGAACGGGCCCGACGCCTCCTTTCTATGCAGGGCCTGGGGGATAGCAGGCCCTCAGAACACATGGAGGTGATGTTAAACCTGCTGGGCAGTGAAGAGCCAAATTTCCTCTTTGTGGAACTGTTTCTGCGACACATGCCACCTCACGTGCAGACGGCTCTCGCGAATACAGCCATTACGGAGCCACGTGCTCTGGCGGAGGAGGCGGACCGGTTCTTCCTGGCCACCCATCGTTTCGTCCCTGACGTGTTGGCCCCGACACGCAGCTACACCCCCCCTGCTGCGGCCGCTCTGCCTGTTAGGGGGCGCATGGTGACTGACGGCCCGGCCAGCCCTGGGTTGTGCTACTTCCATGCACGTTTCGGGGCCAAAGCTAAGAGGTGCCGCTCCCCATGCAGTTTCAACGCGACGGGAAACGCCAAGGCCTGCGCTCAGTAGTGGCCGTGAGCGCAGGCGCGAAGGGCCGGCTGCTGTTTGTTGTGGACACCCTGTCCGGGCGCAGGTTCCTCTGTGACACTGGCGCCCAGAGGAGCGTTCTGCCGGCTACAGTGGACGATGCTGCTGGGGGGTTGCATGGCCCGCCCTTAACGTCCGCCAATGACACCCCTATCCGGACATATGGCACAAAGTCTGTGGACGTATGTTTCGGGGGCCAGCGGTTTACATGGGACTTTGTCACGGCCGATGTCTCGTTTCCCCTCCTCGGTGCAGATTTTCTGTGCGCCCAGGGGTTACTCGTGGATGTCAAAAATGGCCGCCTGGTGGACGCTTTGACCTTCTCCTCATTCGCGTGTGTCCGTGATGAGGGGACATACAATGGTCTCTCCAGCTCGCTCGCTGAAGGTGACAAGTACCTGCGGCTCCTCATGGAGTTCCCTGACCTGACGCGGCCCACTTTCTCGGCTGCTACGGCTAAACACGGAGTCGAACACCACATCGAAACCAGAGGCCCTCCTATCCACGCCAGGGCCCGGCGGCTCAATCCGGAGAGGTTGACGACTGCCAAGGCTGAATTCGCCAACATGGAACGACTTGGCGTCATTCGCCGTTCTGACAGCCCGTGGGCTTCACCACTCCACATGGTTCCGAAGCCAGACGGTGGGTGGCGTCCGTGTGGTGACTACCGCCGTCTTAATGATGCGACCACGCCCGATCGTTACCCGGTGCCCCACATTCAAGACTTTTCCGTACATTTGGCGGGGAAGTCCGTGTTCTCTAAAGTGGATCTGGTGCGGGGTTACCACCAAGTCCCGGTGCACCCGGCGGACATACCGAAGACGGCAGTGGTGACTCCTTTCGGGCTGTTCGAGTTCCTCAGGATGCCTTTTGGCCTGAAGAACGCAGCCCAGTCGTTCCAGCGGCTAATGGACTCGGCACTCAGGGACATGCCTTTCATCTTCGTCTACTTGGACAATGTCCTCGTCGCCAGCTCCTCGGAGGAGGAGCACCTGACACATCTCCGAGTTCTTTTTACACGGCTCGACCAGCACGGGCTGATCATTAACCCGGCTAAGTGTGTTTTTGGGGTGCCGTCCATAAAGTTCCTCGGGCATCTCATCACCAGTGAGGGGGCTGCCCCCCTCCCTTCGAAGGTGGACGCCGTTTCCACTTTTCCACGCCCACGCTCGGCCCGGGGGCTCCGTGAGTTCCTCGGTATGGTTACCTTCTACCATCGGTTCATTCGACAAGCGGCTCACGTAATGCGCCCGCTCTACGAGGCCCTTAAGGGTATGACCCCCAACCAGGACGTTGTCTGGACCGCGGCCTTCGAGGACACAAAAGTTGCGTTGTGCCAGGCCACTATGTTGGTCCACCCGTCACCTGGGGCCCCGGTTGCCCTCACTACTGACGCGTCCGACTATGCCGTGGGTGCCGTGTTCGAGCAGTGGGTCGAGGGTACCTGGCAACCGCTCGCCTTTTTCAGCCGCCAGCTTGTCCCCAGGGAGCGTAAATACAGCACCTTTGACAGAGAGCTGCTCGCTGTTTGGTTGGCAATCCGCCACTTCCGCTTCGTCCTGGAGGGCCGTGAGTTTACGGTTTTTGTTGACCACAAGCCCCTTACATTCTCCATGTCTAAGGTGGCCGAGCCGTGGTCCGCCCGCCAGCAGCGCCAGCTGGCGTTCATCTCGGAGTATACCACGGACATACGACACATTGCCGGCAAATCCAATGTGGTTGCGGATTGTCTTTCCAGGGCGGTCGTTGGTGCGGTCCAGCTCGGACTAGACTACGCGCGTATGGGTGCAGACCAGGCCGCAGACCGCACCCTTCAGTCCCTCAAGGACTCGGACACTGGACTGCAGCTGGGAAAGGTCGCGGTCGGCGCTTCTGGGGTCAGGTTGTGGTGTGACCTCTCTACTGGCCAGCCCAGGCCTCTGGTCCCCGCCAGCTGGCAGCGGTCTGTTTTTGAGACTATACACGGCCTGTCCCATCCTGGCAGAAAGGCATCTGTTAGGCTTGTATCGCAAAAGTTCGTCTGGAGAGGACTCAAGAAGGATGTGTGGGCCTGGGTTGATTCTTGTGTGGCCTGTCAGCGTGCTAAGGTGCACCGCCATACCAAGGCCCCGTTAGAACCTTTTGTTGTTCCGGAGAGGAGGTTTGACCACGTTAACATCGACCTGGTGGGGCCGCTTCCCCCTTCACGTGGTTTCACTTACCTCCTCACGATGGTAGACAGGACGACGCGCTGGCCTGAGGCTGTTCCCCTCGCCTCTATCACGGCTGCCGATGTGGCTCGGGCGTTCATTGGCACGTGGGTTTCGCGTTTCGGTACGCCCTCTGATCTATCCTCTGACCGGGGTGCGCAGTTTACCTCGGAGGTCTGGAACGCTGTGGCGGGGGGTTTGGGTGTCAAGTTGCACCGCACCACCGCATACCACCCCCAGGCTAACGGACTGTGTGAACGTTTCCACCGCTCTATGAAGGCTGCCCTTCGGGCCAGCCTGACAGACGGCAACTGGGTTGACAAACTGCCCTGGGTCATGCTTGGCCTTAGGACCGCCCCCAAGGAGGATCTGCAGTCCTCGTCTGCCGAGCTTGTTTACGGCCAGGCTTTGCGGGTGCCTGGGGATTTTATACCGGATGCTACGAGACCTTGGTCTGCTACCGAACAGCGGTCCTCCCTGCGGGAGGTGGCCACGGGGTTTGTGCCTGTTCCTACGTCGCAGCACTGCTCCCCTGAGTCCCGGATGCCCGCTGGCCTCCGCTCTGCGTCGTTTGTTTTCGTCCGCCACGACGCCCACCGTGGACCGCTGCGTCCCCCTTACGACGGCCCGTTTAGGGTTTTGCAGCATGGGGACAAGAGCCTGGTCGTGGACATTGGGGGTAGACCTGAAACTATTTCCGTTGATAGGATCAAGCCTGCTCATGTGGACATTTCCAGACCATTGGTGTTGGCCCAGGCCCCACGCCGCGGACGCCCCCCAGTACTTTGTTTCCCTGGTCAGTCGGGAGTTCCTTCGACCGGGACGGTGCCGGCTGCGTCCCCCGCTTCCCTCCCCTCAGCCCCTGCCACTTGTACTCGGAGTGGTCGGGCCATCATTCCATTCCGGAGTGGGGATTTTGACTATGGTTGAATTCTGGGGGGGCTTGTGTGGTGGTTTACATAATTCACCCATGGAACTGTGGTTACTCTGGTGGGGTTCCGGGGGGACAGGAAAAACGGTTGCACAGTTTTCCCATGAGAAGAAATGTTTTTTGGTTGTGTGAGGAGTTCTGTTACACTGGCTGTTTTATGGCATTAAAACGTGTACGTTTGTCACCGCTGTTTGACACACCGCCTCCGACTCCGCTCCTTACGCACCACAATATATTTAGAAAGAAAACGTTCCATAATATAGATTTAACTTTTTATTTTATCATAGTCTTACGTTTCTCTTGGCTAAACCCGTCTCAAAGTGTGCATTGCAGCCTGGCGGTCCGTCACCACTATACTGTTCTTCCCGCAGACGCCAGCAGAGGGCGCCTCCACCACGGTCTTCGCCGCGGTCTCCTCTCAGATGGAGGGAGTGGGAGGCGTGTACCTGTACAACGGGGAGAGGACGCGCTCCGCAAAACCGTCCTACGACCCCGACCTCCAGGCGTGGCTGTGGAAGAAGAGCTGCCAGCTGGTGGGACTGCAGCACGGTCTACACTGAGAAGACAATCGGAAACACAACTGGGAACGAAGGAAAAACTTTCAAAAGCATAGAGGATTTGAAGATCTATTCAATTACAAACATGCAAAATTGATAATCGTCCATATAAAGCCTTAATGTTAGATTTATATAAAAAATACAGGAAAAATAAGAAAGATATAGTTCTATCAACATCTGTGTGTATGTAAACTAGGCCACGACATGCTGTCTTCTTCTAGTACTTAGAAAAGCCCTGTGAGTCACTGTTTGACTCTTTGAGCTGAGAGCTGATTGGTTGAGTGAGGGCGGTCCTCCCTTCTTCATTTTTCTGTCTGATAATAATTGACTTGAAGATGTGAGAGACAAAGAATACATGAAGCTAGTGAGAGAAGAAAAAGGTTTTAGAGCTAGGAACAGTGACATTTCAATACATAGTTCTGTTTTCTGGTTTGAAAGTTTTAAAAAGCTAAAATGATTGTGACCAGTAAAGTAAGAGAAAGCGATCATAGAGGGAGAGAAAAAAAAGCAAGGTGGAGAAAGAGAGAGACCAGTGTTATTGTGTTTCTATTCTATGTTGAAACCAAAAGCAACTTCTGCCTTTCCTACTGTGCCAATATACATTACTGCGCTCGGACATGTCTGCTGTAGTCGTTGAAATTAAAGTATATAATTTCTGTTGTTTAAAATGATGCAATGTGCCTTACTGTTCGACCGAATACACTATTGACACACAAACCATAAACAGTTAAACTTAAAAAAATATAATGACTACTGATACAGCCTTTAAAGGAGACATAGGCCAGAGACCAGAGAGAGAGGGACCAGAGGAAGACCAGAGATATCGGAGAGGGAGAGTCCAGAGGGAGAGTCCAGAGGGAGAGTCCAGAGGGAGAGTCCAGAGGGAGAGTCCAGAGGGAGAGTCCAGAGGGAGAGTCCAGAGGGAGAGTCCAGAGGGAGAGTCCAGAGGGAGAGTCCAGAGGGAGAGTCCAGAGGGAGAGTCCAGAGGGAGAGTCCAGAGATGGAGAGAGTGTGACTCCAGACTAGAGAGAGGGAGACCATAGAGAGAGAGAGAGACCAGAGCAATCTTCTGCTATGTCGTCACTTTGTTGGGATCCTTAATATATAGAGAAGTGGGAGAATTGTTTCATACTAGTCCTTATAGTTCTATGTAGCTGCATTTAACTGAAGGATTATATTTTCACTATTTTGATTAACTGATAACTTATTTTTAATTCAAATAAACTTGCCTTGCCTTACAGTAATGGCATGGAACATCATAACGTGTACAGAATTGCATTTTAAACCAGAACTGTTCGTACAAGTCGTCGATACTTTTGTAAAATAGTTTTAATTTGACGAAGGAATAGTGTAGTCACGGTATTATCACTTAAGTACAATCTGTATATTAACTCATAGTAGTAATAGTAGTAGTAGTAGTAGTAGTAGAAAAACACGACCCATAGACTTTGAACACTTAAAATGAAATATATTTTTTGAAAAATCAACATAACAAAAGAACAACGTCTCTTTGTGGAGGTCGTCGTTGGCAGATTTCATTTACAGGACGCACAGTTTCTGCTTTGGTTCAAATCGGCCCCATGTCGCCGGGTTCTATTGACATAACAACCACCTGACGACCACAGCGATACGGGACGATCTACTGCAACAAATGAGGATTCAAGAGACTGGGGCTGACCCTCTGTCACAGCAAGACTCAGGATTCAGGATTTCACCATTATTGGATGATTTGGCAGAAATGGGACAGAATCTCACAAGACACTAAACATGATTTAACATGTGTTCAGAGAGAGACCAAAGAGAGACCAGAGAGACTAGACAGAGACTAGAAAGAGACCAAAGAGACCAGACAGAGACTAGAAAGAGACCAAAAAGACCAGACAGAGACTAGAAAGAGACCAAAGAGACCAGACAGAGACTAGAAAGAGACCAAAGGGAGAGACCAGACAAAGATCAGAAAGACTAGAGAGAAATACTGCTAAATATTTCTTTTAATATCATTTTCTAGAGATGCCAGTATAAATTATTATAAGGAATACAATTATTTCTTATTCAAAAATCTCATCCAATGGAAATTCTAAGTTCTTCTATTGGTACCAGTTGTAAATGCATGCAGCAACAACTATACATGATTTAAAGCTGGGGTACCAAACCTTTTTGTTAAATAATAATACTTTATTTACCAAAACATATTTAGGAGCAATACTTCTGCTTTAAAAGTTATTGTTGATGTCTTCGTGGGACGATGCTAATACAGGACTGAGACTGGAGCCAACATGTTTGTGCTTCCTGACATCAGCATTGATGGAGCTAAACCCCACTCCGGGTCTGTGACTGAGGAGGAACAATGTTGGAAAATGGGATAAAAAGAGAAAGAGAAAGTCCCAGAACTGCCAAACCGCCGTCAGTCCCAGCCACAGTTTCATTTTTGCAGCGCCCCAAAGGTTGAGTTCACACGTCGAGCTCTTTTGCGTTATTATTTTACATTGGCTCTTCACTCTAAGACCACAGATATAACAAACACGAGGAGGAGAGATCGCCCTCCGTCCCAAAACAATACTCGATTTGTACAAATGACATGAAAACAGTGGCTCTGGTTTTCGCGTCCAGCTCTTCCCCTACTTAGAAAACACCACAGGTACAATGGAGGAGGTCTATCCGTCGCCACCAGAGCAGATCGGCAGGAGTTAATTAAATACTGTAATGTTCAGAATTGTTGGATTTTCTGTGGTAAAAGTTTTGTAAATGTGAATAGCTTATTAGCAAACAGAGACAAGTGGATTTCTCCGACAGGGATCAAGAAAGTATCTATCTTTCTAGAAACATATCAGCTTAGAATTGGCTCTTTACCGCAGCAATAGTTTTGTGACAATTTATTCAATTTATTTCAGCGCTTATGAAGACACCCTCTTACAAAAAGTTAAAAACATCACACACAATATTGAAAATACTGAATAAAATACATTTAAAATATTCCAATTTAAGAATGAAGCTTTTGATTTGTTATTTGATAATTACAGCTGGAGGAATACAATCATTTGACAACATTTCAGAACGTACATATCTGTCTTTGCATATGAACTCTTTGTAAATATTTTGTCAAGTATGATTTTAGATTTTTCTTTCAAAGTACCAAAGACAAAACCGGAATCCCCCTTTAAAAACAGCTACCTTTTTCTGCGTTTTTATTTTATATTGTGCGGTTGGAGCTTGACCTGTCAACCGATTAGAACGAGACCAAACTGGGACCAGGCTGTAACCATAGCGACCTGTTCTACTGATAATATTGTACCTTTATATTTCATTTCAGCTCAGTCTGGTCCACCTTCTAGTTGGTTTTTCATATGTCCATAGAAAATTGATGACAAATGCCGCTAAATTTGACAAAACGTACAGTAAAAATCAACAATTGGACAGTGAGGTAGATGGATTGCTTTTGTATCCAATGTGAAAAATGCTAAAAAAAAGTTATGAGTGCTTGAATGACTTTGATAATCCTGATTAAAGAATGAAATGATTCCAAAAGATTCTCCAGTAGAACAAGCAAAAAAAAGAAATGTTAAGACTCGAAATGATATAAGACTAAGACACTCAAGATATTTACATCGAAATCCAACAATTATGAACCAGCTTCTTGTTATTTTTGCGGTTTTAGAAAGTGATATTGAAAGAATAAAGTGTATTCAATTTGGACTTTTAGCAGAAGCTCAAGTCCGGGGCAACTGCCTAGTAGTAGTAGTAGTAGTAGCAGTAGCAGTAGCAGTAGCGGTAGTGGTAGTGGTAGTGGTAGTGGTAGTGGTAGTGGTAGTGGTAGTGGTAGTGGTAGTGGTAGTAGTAGTAGTATTAGTAGCAGTAGCAGTAGCAGTAGTAGTAGTAGTAGTAGCGGTAGTGGTAGTGGTAGTAGTAGTAGTAGTAGTAGTAGTAGTAGTAGTATTAGTAGTAGCAGTAGCAGTAGTGGTAGTAGTAGTAGTAGCAGTAGCAGTAGTAGTAGTGGTAGAAGTAGAGGTAGTAGTAGTGGTAGTAGCAGCAGTAGTAGTAGAAGTAGTAGTAGTAGCAGTAGCAGTAGCAGTAGTATTAGTAGTAGTGGTATTGGTACCAATAGTAGTGGCATGGAAAGTAGCGGCAGTAATAGCAGCAGCAGTAGTAGCAGTAGTGGGGGCAGTATTTGCAGTAGTAGTAGCAGTAGCAGTTGCAGTAGTTGTAGTAAATTGTACCATGTGATCTTCGTTTCCAGCCAATCAGAATGCTGCGATGGACAAACCTCCAGTTCATTCATAATTATTACATTGAAGATAAAGTTGCTGCCTCGTTGCCAGGTTGGACTCGGCGTTCCGCACTTTAAGGCAGCTTTTCAGTTAGTTTTCCGCTCGAGCCGTTCTAGAATCTCCCAAAGGCGACACACACACACACACACACCGCTCTTGTGCAAACGTCTTGTAAACAAATGAAACAGGATTACCACAGGATCAACCGAAACTCTTCCAAAAAATGTGCTTTTCGTCGCTTTGTCTCGTATTTTTTCTCGTGTGTTTTTTGTTTTTTTTTGCGTTTCGCGTGTGCTTTCCGACGTCCCTCTGGCCCTGGTGCGTTTGGAAGAAAACTGTAAATTGTACACATGCTAATATTGCCTTTGTCGCATCACGTTTTTTTCCACAAATTAAAAAATAAACGTACAAAAAATGCCTACTCACTCCTTCTCCCTGCTTTTCACGTCTAAACGCACGACCATATTACTTCATTTTTATAATTATATATTTATGTATAATTTGTATACTATGTACAGGGATCCTGGATCGGCAGAGTCCGGGTTTGGAGTGGGTGAGTGTGGGTGGGACCTCCAGGCTGGTGGAAGGAGGCAGGGGTTGGAGGTCAATATACCCAGGACACAGGCACCCACTGGGGGGTAGTGGAGACCAGGTGCACGGCCTCTTCCAGGAGGCGGATTGTGTCGTCGATCTCGTTGTTGATGATCGTCTCGTCGAAATAGTGAGCGTAGGTTTTCTGAAGCAGCTCTGACTCTTTCTGCAGCCGCTGGAGGGAGTCGTCCTGACGGAGAGTACAGACACAAGTTACAAGACGTACACGCACACGCGCACACGCACACACACACGCACACACACACAAATACAATTACAGCTGATGAGGAGACTGCGCTGAGGAGAAGGACTGAGGGCTATGGGAAGACCAGAGAGAGACCAGAGAGAGACCAGAGAGAGACCAGAGAGAGACCAGAGAGAGGCCAGAGAGAGACCAGAGAGAGACCAGAGAGACCAGAGAGAGGCCAGAGAGAGACCAGAGAGAGAGACCAGAGAGAGACCAGAGAGAGGCCAGAGAGAGACCAGAGAGAGGCCAGAGAGAGGCCAGAGAGAGACCAGAGAGACCAGAGAGAGACCAGAGAGAGAGACCAGAGAGAGAGACCAGAGAGAGAGACCAGAGAGAGACCAGAGAGAGACCAGAGAGAGACCAGAGAGAGGCCAGAGAGAGGCCAGAGAGAGGCCAGAGAGAGGCCAGAGAGAGACCAGAGAGAGGCCAGAGAGAGACCAGAGAGAGACCAGAGAGAGACCAGAGAGAGACCAGAGAGAGACCAGAGAGAGACCAGAGAGAGGCCAGAGAGAGGCCAGAGAGAGACCAGAGAGAGACCAGAGAGAGACCAGAGAGAGACCAGAGAGAGACCAGAGAGAGACCAGAGAGAGGCCAGAGAGAGGCCAGAGAGAGGCCAGAGAGAGGCCAGAGAGAGACCAGGGAGAGACCAGAGAGAGAGGTCAGAGAGAGACCAGAGAGAGAGACCAGAGAGAGAGACCAGAGAGAGACCAGAGAGAGACCAGAGAGAGGCTAGAGAGAGACCAGAGAGAGGCCAGAGGGAGGCTAGAGAGAGACCAGAGAGAGGCCAGAGAGAGACCAGAGGGAGACCAAGGAGAGACCAGAGAGAAACCAGAGAGAGGCCAGAGAGAGACCAGTGAGAGACCAGAGAGAGACCAGAGAGAGACCAGAGAGAGACCAGAGAGAGAATAGAGAGAGACCAGAGAGAGGCCAGAGAGAGACCAGAGGGAGACCAGAGAGAGACCAGAGGGAGACCAGAGGGAGACGAGAGAGACCAGAGAGAGACCAGAGGGAGACTAGAGACCAGAGAGAGACCAAAGAGACCAGAGAGAGACCAGACAAAGACCAGAGAGAGACCAGGGGGACATTGCTGTTATTAGCATGGATGGAGTTAAACACAACTCCAGTTTAAGTCCAGGGAACAGCAGTATCTTTGTAGAAGGCACACTAACATCAGGGACAGACAGGGAAAAGTAAAAGGTTTGGGTTCGATTGAAGCTAACATTTACTCGTCGTACTTACTGGCAGTTTGCGACACCAGCGCGGGATCTTTAGTAACATTTAAGCATGCCACACAAACACACACGTGCAGGAGAGCAGAGCGTGCAAAGTCAGAGAGGACAGTGAGTTTACAGACAGGTGCTTTAGTGAGAGGGTGAGACAGAAGTGAGAGAGTACCTCGGTCAGTCCTGGGGTGATCGTTGGAGCGGCGATGAAAACGACGAAAGGAGCGAACTCTGCCGTCCTCAGGATCTTTAGAGCCTGGAAACACGAAAGATGCAAGATTATAGCCTCTCTCCCTCTGGTTGCTCTCTCTGTCGTTTCTCTCTGGTCTCTCTCTCACTTCTCCCTCTCTGCTATCTGCTCTCTATCTTCTCTGTCTCTGCTCTCTCTTCTCCCTCTTTTCTATCTCTCTTCTCTCTCCCTCTTTGCTATCTGCTCTCTCTTCTCTTCTCCCTATGCTCTCTTCTATCTCTCCGCGACCACTCTCTTCTCTCTCCCTCTCTCTTATCTTTTCTCTCTCTCTTCTCCCTCTCTGCCCTCTTCTATCTCCCTGCGACCTCTTTCTTCTTCCTCCCTCTCTGCTATCTTCTTTTTTTCTCCAACTCTACTTTCTATCTCTCTGAAACCTCTCTCTCTTCTCCCTCCCTCTCTGCCTATCTGCTATTTCTTATCTTTTCTCTCTCTTCTCTCTTCTATCTCTCTGCGTCCTCTCTCCCTCTCTCTTCTTCCTCTGCTCTCTTCTATCTCTCTGCGACCTCTCTCTCTTCTCTCTCCCTCTCTCTTCTATCTCTCTGCGACCACTCTCTCTTCTCCCTCTCTGCTCTCTTCTATCTCTCTGCAACCTCTCTCCCTCTCTCTTCTATCTCTCTGCGACCTCTCTCTCTTATCTCTCCCTCTCTCTTCTCTCTCTCTTCTCCCTCTCTGCTCTCTTCTATCTCTCTCTCTCTCTTCTCCCTCTGCTCTCTTCTATCTCATTCTTTTTTCTCTCTCTCTCTTCTCCCTCTGCTCTCTTCTATCTCTCTGCAACCTCTCTCTTTCTTTTCTCTCTCTTCTCCCTCTCTGCTCTCTTCTATCTCTCTGCGATCTCTCTCTCTTCTCTCTCCCTCTACTATCTGCTCTCTCTTCTCTCTCTCTGCTCTCTCTCCTCCCCCCCTCTCACCTGTGGCTCCACGTCCAGTATAGCGATCATGTTCTGCCCGTGTATTTGCCGGATGGTCTCGAGCCGCGTGCCGTACATGGCGTCCTCGTGGCTGCCGTACTCCAGGTAGTCGTTGTTGCTGATGTCCTGCATCATCTGGTCGTGCGACACAAAGAAGTAGTTCTTCCCGTTCTCCTCGTCCTTCTTCGGAGGCCGGGTGGTGTCTGCGGGAGAGAAACCATCAATCCTGGACTATGTGTGGCCTTCATTCTTCAGATCACTGGGAGTATAAGAGTGTGAGAAATGACTATAGAAACAATGGTATCCTCGGCAAAAAGACTAAAATCCACTAAAAGCAAAGATTTTTTTAAGATTGACTTTGACTTGAGATTACACAACTTTTTTTTGAGGAAATTGATTTGAGATGTGAAAAAATTTTTTTTAAACAAATTCCATTGGTGTGAGATGTTGAGGTGTAGGGTCAGAGAGTGTTTGGGCCTGGGTTTTGTGTGCGTATGTTTAACCCACGATTTGCAATTGTTTGAACTGTTTTAGTCGATCGATTTCACAGTGACATTTGTTTACTGTTTTATTTGTTTTATTTTTGTCTTTTAATGTTGTTTATGTCTGTATTTGTCTGTGCACACTGGAGACTTTTGCTAATGTATTCCAATGTGTTTTTTTTTACTGCAAATGGCAAAATAAACTGAATCTGAATCTGAATCTGAATTAAGTGCTGCTATGGCCTCTGTCAGAAGCAGTGGTCACCATAGTAACAGGGGATCTATCTCCAGGTTTTCATGCTCTTGGTCAAAACTACTGGAACTGGAGGTTTTGATGTTTTTAGTGGTAGGGGAAACTGGAGCACCCAGAGTAAACCCACCCACCCACTGTAGAGTTTAAATGTTGGATATGCAACAGAACCCAAACTACTTTTCCTTCTGTTCCTTCGAAGCATGAAGCTATCTGCCCCAAAGTGCCTCGTCCATGTTCCCCGCAGTCCCCGTTAGACATTTTCGAGGGGTGGCTACGAAAGGGTATTGCGGTGATTCTTGCGTCACCGCCGTAAGCTCTGACAATACACTCGGGATTAAGTGTGTGGAATGTAATGTCTTAAAGTGTGTTTCTCACGGGGGATGGGGTAGGCAAAGCGGTCCGGATGTTTGGCGATCAGTGTGTTCTTGATGTGCCTTCTGCCGACGCCATGAGCTCCTGTTGGAAACCACAGAACAATTATTATTTCAAACCTTTCAGAAGGAAAAGAGAAGACTTGTTTACGAGAGTCTTCATTGCAGCAAGTTCTGAAGGCTCATGTCCAGTGTGTTTCAAAGCAATGGTCTTTGCTGTTTGGGAAAAGATCAGGCCTGTCTTTTAATTCAGAAATGTATTTATGAATTTGAAATGGATTTTTTAAAATTAAAAAGTCCCTGCACTTTTATTGTTTGATGTGAGTCAGTTCTAGATCTTTTAGCCTTCCGTAAAACAAAATCTAGCTCTAACGCAAAAGTAAAGTGCTTTGTGCGGTCTGGGAAATGCGCTATATAAATAAAGCTGACTAGAGACAGGTTTTAATAGAGTTCTATTGTTTGCGGTTTGCGGTTTGATCTGGACTCACCGAGTAGAACCAGGGTTTTCCTCTGAAACGACGGCACTCGGATCACCTCCTCATAAGTGACCAGGTCTAGTTGATCAAACACTGCAGCAGCAAAAGAAAAACCTCTTTTAATTCAACATTTTTACGTCTGTTTACACACTTACAAACAAAAATAAAGCATAATATCATAATAATGTTCAATTCATTCCATAAAGTAAGTCAAGCTGTAAAAAGTGAACTAGTGGATTCATGCGATAGTGTAATTTAGCCTCTTAGTCATCAGTCATTTGTCAATTTTAATGAAAAAAAACAAAACAAAAACAATATTCCAGTGGATTTCAAACTCTGAATATTTCAAATGGTACAATCCCAAAATATAAACAAAATAGCTATAATTTGACTCACAGTTTGAGAACCACAGAACATGTTTCTATCCACAGAGAAAATAAAGACCATATTTATGCATGACAGACTTTTGTTGAAGAAAATATAGAGAAAATCAAACAAACTGCAAAAATATGAACTTGTAAAACCATTTAAAAAAAAAAAATGTAAATTCAAGATTTTGTTCTTAATTCCAGTAGTTTTGATGTGATCCTTGCACTTGTAATGAGATGATAAGATGTAGTTTTAGAGGTGGAATTACTGTGTTTAAAAAAATACCACAAAATATGAACTATTTAAGGAATCAACAGCAGAAATCAGAATTAAATTTCAGGTTATAACAACTACTATACAAACTGCTTCATTAGACTAAATGAGAACAATATACAGAGACAGCTGCTTTTCACACTGGTAACAAAATGGCCCGAAATGGGGAAAAAAAAAAGTCTTGTATGTGTATGATATAGTCGCCTTGTTATTTTACAGAAAAAACATTTGAGGAGCAACAGATCGACTGGAAAGGTCTAAAATCATCTTGTACTTGTAACCATGGCCGGGTTTACCAGCAAACACACAAGCACATGTATAATTATATGAATATAGAGAATTACTATTATAGCTAAAAACTGTGAGCATTATGTAAAGAAGGAAATGTTCTTAATACTACACTGCAAAAAGCATAAAATATAAGGTAATAATAGCTTGAATTAAATGTATTTTTTGTTTTTTTATCTTTGAGTAAATTCTGACTGAAAACCCGACTTGTACACGGGACAAAGGTAATTAAGTCTTTTACAAGAACTTTATTTTCTCATTCCAATGGAGACATTTATTGTATCTTTTCAAACACAAGATCAGCTAGCTTGTCCAAAAGGCAAATCATGTTTTAAGACAGTCAGAATGTGCTGAAATGAATGTACATTTTGCCAATTTTGAGCAATTTATGACTTCTTTTTCATCAATTTTTGCAGTGTACGGCTTAAATCAAGGATCCTTTGTAATTTTGTGTATCTATGAAAGTATTTTTGAATAAAGCCCTTGCAGCAGTCTTTATTTCATTAGATTAAAATTAAATCTCTTTCAAAACTGATAGAAATGAGAGTAATAATATTTTCAGCAGTTTTTTCTTGTAACTAGAAAGAAATGTTTTCAAAATAGTTGCTTTTTCCTCAGTCACAGAAGCACAAAACATATCCACATCAAAACTTCTCGAATCTAGAACAAAAAGCTGCATTTTAAGACGTGAGTAGATTTTTGCAGTGCGGAGGCCAGAGTTCAGAGCACAATGGAGTTCAGGTTGGATATGAGAAAGACTTATTTTAAAGGAAAGTGCTGAATCCTTTAGAAAACGTTGAAAATTGGCTTTTTAATTATTCATTTGTGAGTATTTTTTCCGGTATTGCTTTTATGAACATGAAATAGGAGGCTAAAGATTTAACAGAAAGATCTTAGTTCAGTGGTTTTGAAAGATTGACCATTCTTCCTCTAATTGTCTGACAGCTTTGAGTGATATCTAGGCTGACACAAACACACACACTTTATTCAGATCGATTAAGATGGCTTTTCATGATAAAGAAATCTGGGAACTTCTATGTGTGAATTTTTGCCCATTCTTCCTCTCATTGTCTGCCAGCTTTGAGTGATATCTAGGCTGACACACACACTTCATTCAAATTGATTAAGATGGCTTTTCATGATAAAGAAATCTGGGAACTTCTATGTGTGAATTTTTGCCCATTCTTCCTCTCATTGTCTGCCAGCTTTGAGTGATATCTAGGCTGACACACACACTTCATTCAGATTGATTAAGATGGCTTTTCATGATAAAGAAATCTGGGAACTTCTATGTGTGAATTTTTGCCCATTCTTCCTCTCATTGTCTGCCAGCTTTGAGTGATATCTAGGCTGACACAAACACTTCATTCAGATTGATTAAGATGGCTTTTCATGATAAAGAAATCTGGGAACTTCTATGTGTGAATTTTTTCCCATTCTTCCTCTTATCGTCTGCCAGCTTTGAGTGATATCTAGGCTGACACACACACTTCATTCAGATTGATTAAGATGGCTTTTCATGATAAAGAAATCTGGGAACTTCTATGTGTGAATTTTTTCCCATTCTTCCTCTCATTGTCTGCCAGCTTTGAGTGATATCTAGGCTGACACACACACTTTATTCAGATCGATTAAGATGGCTTTTCATGATAAAGGAATCTGGGAACTTCTATGTGTGAATTTTTGCCCATTCTTCCTCTCATCGTCTGCCAGCTTTGAGTGATATCTGGGCTGACACAAACACACACATTTTATTCAGATCGATTCAGATGGCTTTTCATAATAAAGAAATTTGGGAACTTCTATGTGTGAATTTTTGCCCATTCTTCCTCTCTGCCAGCTTTGAGAGATATCTAGGCTGACACACACACACACTGGCCCATGATGGATACACTCACATTCTCTCACGCTTATTTCTCACAATAATAATTCATTTTGATCCAAAATTTGCACCCGCTGTTTTTGGGCATATTTTTTTAATAAACATTGATTAAAAAAATATATCAATATTGCTGGTTTTCTAAAGAGTCTTTCTCCTCATATGAAACCTTTTGTCCATTGCTTTCTTTCTGCTTCAGTTACTTACATGCAGCCATTTGGGTAAAGACAGCGTGAAACGTGGGAGAGGGAAGGTTAGATCCACAACACGAGAAATCAAATGAAAATCAAACTCAAAAACGACAAAATTCATGAAAAGCGATTGATAATAACCGGTGTTAGTTCAAAGGAGAAGCGGAAATATTAGACACAGCGAGGAAAGGGTTAAACAGGGAAAAGACATCAGTACAGACATCAGAAACGACTTTATTCATTCAATTTGTGGATTTTTATATGATTTCAAGCTGCACAGAATAAAATAAATACTGAGATTTTTTTTGTCAATAATTCAAAATGTGTTTCATATTATTACATTTATTCAAGAAATTAAAAGATACAATTTAAACTTTCTTTTATAAGCCTGACAGCTTCACTTGCATTTCGTCACATTAGTTAATAAAAAGGTTTATTAAACATACTGTAACTATACATTTATTAAGACAATATTAGACAATATCGAGAGGATACTTTAATTTGATTTTAGAAATAAAACAAAACCGCTTTCATTATTAGTGAAAATGCTGATTAAAAATATCAATTTAGCTTTTAAATATTGAAACTAAGTAAAAAAAACTAAAAAAAACTTGAGATTAAGTTTTTATTTGGACATAAACCCTTCATATTTTCTGATGTGAGGTTTTAAAACTCTGTTCAAACCCAATTTATTTTTTAAGAACGATAATAAACACGCCAGTTGCTACTTTATAATAGGACATTTCACAAAAATGTTACAAAGCTAAATGTATCATTTTTCTTTCATTAATAGATTTGGGATTTGTTGCAGTAGAAGTTTAGAAAATCTAAATGAAAAAATGCTGTTTGAATTGATTTATTTGTATTTGGTAAAAACCACTGAAGCCAAAGTTATGAAAGTCCAGATCTGACGATATTGTGGAAGTGGAGCTGGGTTAAACACGTGGATAATAATCTGAGTTCATCAGTGCTTCCTGGATTTGAAAGAAGCTGTATTTGCTCTGACAGTTTTACCTGCGTTGTGCTTTGCCAGATACTTGTCTTTATACTGTTTCTTCTTTTTGCCAAACCACGTGCAGCTGGCCTGCTGCTCCTGCTTGGTCTTCTCCATGGCGATACAAGCCACGCGCCTGAAATACAAAAGATAATGTGTGTTTAGAGTCTACAACTACAGAGGCCACAGAGGGACAAGAACGTCCACAGCTCCTTAGCGATTGATTCTAAACAAACTTAAGACTCGAATTACAAGATTTCTACAATATCGGCGCTAAATGCTTGTTTTGCAATTGACGTCACGTCCGCCTCATTACTTATGCGTATCAGGAAGTGGTGGTCAGCCGAGCTCGTTGTTCACTAGCTCGTGTGTTGTTTTAGTTTTTTCTAAGCAATAGAATCGTGAAACCTTCAATGGATACTTTAGGGTTCCTCGTGAAGAGATGAATAAAGAGCCTTGCACTAAGGTACGAAAACACGCAGGAAAAGTAGCTCGCTGACATTTCACTAGCAAACGCTTTTATCTTGAAGGATTATTTATTTACCCAGCCATGCAGTCACAATGCGCAGTTATTACATCCCCATCTTTTTTTAATGAACTTTCAGGTTGAGTTGGCGTTTTAGATAAACACTGAATGTTTGACTTGAAAAGAACACAGCCACAGACGCATTGTTTTGTTGAGAATGACAAGTTCATTCACCGATCGTTACTTACACGACTCTGTACGATGCAGGATTTGCATCTCAGAGTTCCTTAACCCACCCACAGACAAAAAAGTTTTAGGCATCCATGCTTTTGTTTAGCAGTGCAAAAGCTTGATTGTAACACTAGATAGTTTGAGATATCCGAGAACTGAACTGGGAGGTTTTTTTCTAACTCGCAAATCAAATTATTCTTGGATAACGCATTAGGATCTACACCGTTACACAATTTGACTTTTTTGATGTATCGATCTCGAGAATTGGAATCTAAAGTGAAGAAAATGACAGTCTAGGATTGTGTAGATAACCAAAGCATGCAGTGGAAAAATACTGCCTTTGCATATTGCTAGAATGAGTTAAGACTTTGACCACAGTATACAAAAAAAGCACGAAAATACAGAAGCAGTTTTTGTTGGTCTGACCACCACTTCCTTAAACAGAAGTTGATGCGTCGTGTGATTGCAAGCCAAGAATACAAACTTTTTATTCTCACAATCTACTGTATGTTCTTTCCCAACAGAAAGAGACTCGCAAATGTAAGACAATATGACTTACTTTTGTGAAAGAATCAAAACATAACTTGTGTTTGTGTGTTTTTCATGCTGTTTTCTTCTCTTCTTCTTTTGTGCCTGTGAAGCACTTTAGGCAGCTGGTATTGTTAATGTGCTATACGGATAAAGTTGACATTGACGTTGTACATTAAAATGGCACTATCACTTGAGTGCTTTAGACGCACCTTTTCTCTCTGGCTTTCAACACCAGGAACAAGAGACAAGTTTTAGTATTTATCATAAAGCTCTTTTTGTATAATTATTGCAGCTGTTTTTTCACTTTCTGTCCAGCACTTTTGTCTGTTTTAAATGTGCTTCTATACAAAAAAAAAAATTGATTGATTGATTGGATTGATTAAATCTCACCATTCCTGCAGTTCTGGGGACGGAATGAGCCCCGCGGTGCCGTTCTTGGTGTTCTCCAGTTTGCCCTGCCACCAGTTGTGGTCGTCTTTGGAGATGATTTGGATGATGTCGCCCACGCGGAACCGCACACCCGCCTCTTTGCACGGGATCAGCTCGTCTTTAGAAGGGTCGTACTCAAACTGGGCGCGCACGTAGATCTGCGGAACACATTTGAATTACAGAAAAACTGTCCAAATGTATGAGTTTATGGAGGTGTAGAGGAGGAGAAGGCAGGCAGGAGATACAGGAGGCGATTGGGGGAAAGATGGAGTAAAGCAGTCCAATATTTGAGAACTTTGAGACGATAAATGCAATGAAATTCAATGTTTTGTATTTGTATAAACTGTTATTTTGTCTTGTGAAGCATTCAAGGATAAGTCACACCCAGGTTGACCACCATTACATAACATACCATAATCATAGTATACCAAAGCCCCATTTCGACCAGCCCTACCCAAACCTGCGATTGGGAGCGTTTCCACTGGCCGAGTTTAACCGTTTTTCCTCCCTCTTGGTCCTGGTTCTATCCAGGCCGTGCTGGTACTAAAGTGTTCTAACTGACTGTGATTGGTTGGTGTGTTGTTAGAAGCCATGGTTACCAAGGAATTTCCCCGAATGCTGTTTTTCATGAGTAGGTTGCTTGGATACAGTACCAGATACTAAAGCACTGAAGAAAAACCAAGTAGAGTAGAGTAGAGTAGGGCAAAGTAGGGCTAGTAGAAACAGGGTAACACTGGTAACCAATAATAAAATGTGTATCATATTCTTACATCAAACTACTACTACTGCTACTACTCCTACTACTGCTACTCCTACTACTACTAGGGTCTGTTGTATTGCTCTTACCTTAATAGTTAATTTTTGCTCTTTGACAGGCGTTCTGGTGATCTATGGGTCAGAGTTCACACTTACACAGAGAACATGCAGAGAAACAGAACGGGCTTCAACCAAACGGGAAAAGTGCAGTTTGTTAGAAAAACTGTGGAATTAAAACGATTGAATTTGATGTATAAAATGCAGAGACAAGTGGGACAATATGAAAGAGGCCAGCACAGTGAAGCTACTATGCAAAATTCTTATCCATTCAAATTCATAATGAGACTACTTACTTTGTATATGGTAAAGAGAGTATGAAAGGTAAAAAAAAAGCTTTCTGCTTTTCTGCCACCAGAGGGAGGAGTGGAAATCCCCAAAAATAATTTATGTGCATCACTTTTGTTTTAAAAGTAGAAAACTGACTGTGATGTTTTTTGGGAAGGTTAATTACTCCACATATGCACGTTTTTGATCTTCATAACTTTTTTCTGTTTCTATACGTAGTTGATTATGTTTAAGAAATTCGGTCTTGATCCTAAAACTTGTTAAGTCTAGTCTTTCGGGTCTCGCTCTAGTCTTTTTCTAGTCTTTCTATCTCTCTGGTCTCACTCTCTGGTCTCACTCTCTGGTCTCACTCTCTGGTCTCACTCTCTGGTCTCACTCTCTGGTCTCACTCTCTGGTCTCACTCTCTGGTCTCACTCTCTGGTCTCACTCTCTGGTCTCACTCTCTGGTCTCTCTCTGGTCTCTCTCTGGTCCAGGTCCCATATAAGTCTATCCTTACACTGTGCCGCCTTTTTATTGTTTGTTCCCATCTTGTCCCAGAATTACTTTCAAACACATGAGATGAATGAGTGTTAAATACTGTCTCACATGCAGAGCGAATGAATGAATGATTATTTTTGAACTTTCTGTGCGTTGGAATCTCACCGTACGGCCTTTAGGTTGGATTGTGGAGGGAATATCCTGGATGGGGAAAAAGTGGGACAATTACTCAAATGGATCTGCTGTCAGAATGTCTATAGGGGGCGCTGTTGTAAACTGGTTAAAGCTGCAATAAGAGGCAGTGAGAAGAGAGTGAGAAGAGAGGAAACACACAGGTGGAAAAGAAAAGATCTTGAACGCAGTGGTCCCTCTCTCCAACGCGGGTCACCTTTCACAGATTTTTGTGTGCGTTGTGTGTTTGTGCTTTTCTCATGTGTCGTGTGTGTGTATACGCCAACACATATAACTGCTAGTATAACATGACATTTACCTTTGTTTAAAATCAGAAGAAAACTTTTGTTGTATCTCTCTGGTCTCTCTCTCTCTCTCTCTCGGTTTCTTGTCTCTCTCTGGTCTCTTCCTTGTGTATCTCTCTGGTCTCTCTCTCTGGTCCCTCTCTCTGGTCCCTCTTTCTGGTCTCTCTCTCTGGTCTCTCTCTGGTCTCTCTCTCTGGTCTCTCTCTCTCTGGTCTCTCTCTCTGGTCTCTCTCTCTGGTCTCTCTCTCTGGTCTCTCTCTCTGGTCTCTCTCTCTGGTCCCTCTCTCTGGTCCCTCTCTCTGGTCTCTCTCTCTGGTCTCTCTCTCTGGTCTCTCTCTCTGGTCTCTCTCTCTGGTCTCTCTCTCTGGTCTCTCTCTCAGGTCTCTCTCTCTGGTCTCTCTCTCTCTGGTCTCTCTCTCTGGTCCCTCTCTCTGGTCCCTCTCTCTCTGTCTCTCTCTCTCTGGTCTCTCTCTCTGGTCTCTCTCTCTGGTCTCTCTCTCTGGTCTCTCTCTCAGGTCTCTCTCTCTGGTCTCTCTCTCTGGTCTCTCTCTCTGGTCCCTCTCTCTGGTCCCTCTCTCTCTGGTCTCTCTCTCTGGTCTCTCTCTCTGGTTTCTCTCTCTGGTCTCTCTCTCTCTCTGGTCTCTCTCTCTGGTCTCTCAGATTTCCTTTTGGCAAGTTATTTCTAGAACACATCACCCCTGCCGTAAAATGTGATTGTGTTGAGTGTTACCAGGATGGAGCTGGTGACGCTGGCGTGGCCGTTTGCCGGAGACTGCCGCGAAACGTCTGGAGACTCTTTCTGCAAATGACAAATAAACACATTTTTATGAATTTATTTGAAAACAGCGATTCCTTCTTCGGTGCGACATTAGAGTGATCGTTTTCCAGTGTGATGTCATCATTTACAAACAGGAAGTCAAATGACAGAAAAATATTTCTCAAATCTTAAAGTTTTCCAATGCTCTACGATTCTTTACTATGAAACAACTGTTCAAAAGAATGTCATCATTTATAAACAAGACAAAACATGCAAATACAGTATGAGGGTTTTATTAAAGGTCCCATGTTACGCTTGTCTTCATGTTTCACAGTCAATCCTATGCACATGTGTGATAATAATTTAAGTGATACACCATGGTTTCCAGATCAGTGTTTGAGTAAGTCCAGTTCCATTGTCCCTGTAGTTCTGGAGCAGTCTCAGTGAAGTGTCGCAGATGAACAGATTCTTTCAAACAGAGGCAGATCCACGTGAAAAAGTCGAGCCGTTTTCTTCCTCTTCGGGCCAAATAGTGCGTCACATATTTACACCCAAAACACATGTTCTCCAAGTTGACGTGATCCTAACACTTTTAATCGCTGACAAAAGCAGAAAAACAGCAGCTCCATGTGGCGTCTGCGGGACCAAACCACAGACATACGCTGGACTAGGGAACTGGACTTGGGCGCTGGCTGCGCGCTGTGATTCGCTCTGACAATCTGTCAATCACCTCCCGGCTTTTAGTATTATTTTTATTATTTTTGACAACAAACAGCTTACGTATTATGTATTGTTTTCCCTGTGTTGACGACAGTATTTAAGAACCATTTTAAATATAAAGCAAACCGGCTTCTGCGCGTCATATTCGTCACAGATGTGGACCCGGGCGTTTCACTGCCTCTCGAGGGTGAAGGAGAAAGATCGCTCTCTAACTAAAGATTGATAGAATCAATTAGAAAACTACTCTGGGCATGTGTGTGAAGGCCAAATGGCACTGTAATCATGTTTAAAGCAGAGAAAAGTCAAAAAGCGTAATATGGGACCTTTAAGTTGGTTTCAAAATCAGTTTTAAAAATACAAATGATAATGATTGAAGAAACTCACGTCGATGGACATAGACTGTGAGCGGTAACTGGGGACGATCTTAAAGGTGATGCTGCCTCTCATCTCCCTCTGCAACAAAAACATATTTAACATTTGTTTTGGAGCTAATGCAACATTTCAGAGTTATGCAAATGCAGAGGACGTATCAAATACAACCAAAAATCTCTTTGGTCTCTCTCTTTCAAGTCTCTCTCTAGCAGTTCTCTGGTCTCTCTCTCTCTCTGGTGTATCCGTTTTAACTCTGGTTTCTCTCTTTGGTCTCTCTCTTTCAGGTCTCTCTCTGGCATCATCTCTGTTCTCTCGCTCTCTGGTCTCTCTCTCTGTGTTCTCTCTCTGGTCTATCTCGCAGGTCTCTTTCAACACAGTGACAAGTTATGCTGAGAAAAGCAGTTATCAACACCTCTCTAGGTCCAGAGAAATTGTTGCATGTAATCAACAAATTGAACTATACGTCTTAATAGTTTCCCTTTCAGTGCATGTGGGACTTGCTGTGACATTAAAGTTTTATCTTTCTCACGAATGTTTTTCATTTTTTGTTAGGAGGTGGGACTTACCAGCATCTTCTGCAGCTGTTCTACCGTCTGATTGGCTACGCTGATGCCATTGATCTCTCTGATCTCGTCGCCCACGTGAAGAGTTCCTGCGAGTACAAACAGAAAACATGTTATTTCCCCCAGATCCAAAACTACTTATTTACTTTATAAGGGCATCAAGTTTTAAGTTTGAAAACAAAGAATGAAAAAAATCATGATGCTAGATTCAAAAGGTTTTTACCCCTGGCATTTTAAACCCTTCTTTAACAAAAGTTTCCCTGCAAGTTTAATTTTGTACTGTTGTTTTCTATTATTTGTTGACTTTTATTGAACAAGGAACGTCTGTCTCAGTGAGAAGGAGTGTTGTTGTTGATAATTTTCACACTGACAAATGTTTCTTGGACTTTTATATTATGATCTTGTCTGGTGCACAGTCGGGTACTATTCCAATGTGGTTTTTAGTGCAAATGACAAATAATCTGAATCAGAACATGGTAAGAAAAATAAAAAATAAATTGTCAAAAACTCGTCAGAGCGTCAGGAGAGTATGTCGTGTGTAAAAGTATTGAGCACAGTGTGAGGTTGTCATTAAACTGACCTGAACGTGAAAAAGAGAAGCCATCGTTCATATATATAGTAGTAATAGCCGTAGCAATGGTAGCCGTAGCAGTAGAACACCATCATGTGTCAACTCTGACAAAGGCGGAAGTATACAGCTGAAACATGTCAAGAATCTAAGCAGAACTAGCTTCTTTACATTTTTTGTATAAATTAAAGAACCATCTAATCCTTAAGCAGTAGTAATCGCAGCTTCAGAGTTCTTACCCTGTCGGTGGATCATTCCTCCGTGCATGATGCGGGCCACGATGCAGTGGTTCAGCTCGTTCATTTTCAGAGTAATACCCTTTAAAAACATAAACAACAGTGTTTTGTTTAGTACCGGTTTAAAACTTTCTATAGCGTCTAAGGTCGTTGTAAAAATTATTTCCTTTGATCTTAAAGCTGCGGTACGTTACTTTCACACCACAACAATTGAACTCGAATAAAATCCATGCCACTAGTTACTCTCTCTCTCAAAATAGCAGTAGTAGTTGCAGTAATAGCAGTTAACAATGGGATATATCTGTTACCATGGGCTCGTCTGTGTTCTTCTGGAACTGCACCAGTCTCACTCGGGTCACGTTCTCTAGGTCCATGTCTGCGGTGGTGGAGTCAGGGGAGTCTCCGTTAAGGAAGGGGGAGGAGGGGGGAGGAGTGACCCGCAGAGCCTCGTCACTGTACACCTCATGGGCCACCACGTCATGGGTCTGCAGGAGCGCCTGGGGGGAGAGAGAAGTGTGTCAGCGGGGAGTCTGGAGGAGAGAGGAGAAAGAAGAAAGGAGAGAAAGAAAAAAGGAGTGAGAGAGAGAGGGAGAGAGAGGAGGTTTCTAAATGGGACTAAAATTGGCCTTTGTTTTAACATAGCGCTTTTTAGGAAACTCAAAACGCTTCACATATCATTTTACTTTCACTCCATACACAGTGGTGATACACTACTACTGTGGCCATAGCTGCCCTGGGGCACACTGACAGAAGCTAGACACCAGACACATTCAAAACAGTGTGGGTGAAATGCCCTACTAACCAGGCCCTGCCCTGCACAGCTTCAGAGGTCTGAGGGGATCTGGTTTTTACATGCAAGTATGGTCACACACAGTTGTTCCTTGCTGATGTATTGGTCTTCTGCCCTGTATGGACCAATGTGTGACTCGGACCAGAATAGAGACTCGGACCAGGTCAGAGACTCACACCAGAATAGAGACTCGGACCAGAATAGAGACTCCGACTGGAACAGAGACTCGGACCAGGTCAGAGACTCAGACCAAGACAGAGACTCGGACCAGGACAGAGACTCGGGCCAGAACAGAGGAGAACATCACCAGGAAAGTCCTTTTCTGTGGATGGATCCAGATTCAATATTATACTTCTTTTAAAGTTTGTTGTGGGGCCCCCTTATTCAGGAGAGTTGCTTTTATTATGACTGGATCTGTTGTTGTCCACAGAGTAAATCAAACCAGAAAGAAATAGGGCTATATATTTTTTTATAATGATAATTTTACCATAAATTGGTTGCACCTTCAGCATGTGTTTAACTGATCTATTAGAGCTAACTGGATTAAATCACACTCTCCTAATGACTGAAGCGAGTAAGAGAACCGCTTTGGATCTGCATATAAAGCAGATAACACTATATCCGTAATATAGACTGATATAGTGAAATCAAAACCTAAACTACACATGTGCAACTGTGCATAAGGCTGATGGTACTTATTTCAATTATACTTAAACTGTTAGCCTCATGACCTATATTTTAAACTACCTTCTTTCTCTGTATATAGTAAACGCTGATCTCCTTCACAACAAAACAAACAATTTAAAATCATTACCTTCTATGCAGTTTATTCCCATGTTTTTCCCAAATGTATATTTTTGTTGTTCCAGTTGGAGGGTCGCGTCTGCAGAGCGAGGAGCATGTCTCTGCAGCACCTCAAAGCTCACGGCGTAAGAGGATTTAAGTCAAAGGTGTTTAAGGGTTGACACGAGACCGAGACTAAACACTAGGGGGCGTAAGCTTATTAAAAAGTGACATTGGCACGAGATAAAGACGATACAAGAATACAATACAGAAAAGAGGCATACAGGAGTTCAAACAGACATCGAAGCAGATTTTTCCACTGAATAATTGTACACCAAATTTCTCCATGTTACGACATTGTTCCTCATCAGTCCTGGAATGGTTTTTGACTCCATCCACACTAATATCAGGACATTTTGGCACACATGTAGTTCCGCCCCCTTCTGTCTAAAAGCTCCGGTTTCAGTCCTATAGTAGTGATGTCCTTGTACCACTATGACCACTTTTTCATTTCATTTATTCATTTATTTCAAACCTGCATGTGTATGCAAACTGGAAAACAAAAATACAAAGTCCGCTTGGTTTGAAAGGGGGATGATGGAAGCTTAGGCTTATATAACCCCCCCCACACACACACACACTCCACTTGCAGACAAATGATTACAACAGGGATGAAAAAAGGATAGGTTTTCTACTCAAGATATACACACAGCTTGTACATTTTAGTCATTTATCATTTATAATCTCTTAAACATAAATATCTTAGAGGACAGCACTGTCTGAAGCCTATAAATATATTCTCTAGTTGTATTCACTTAATAATGACTGACAAAAGATATTTTCTCTAAAGACGCACCCTCTTGGCTCCTCTGACCACCGCAACACACCCACTGCGTTAACTGGTGTTTGTTCTGCCAATTTATTTTTCAATCCATGATACAAACATTAGTTGGGAGTATTTTTCAATCTGTTGGCTTTATAATCGAATGACTTTGAAATATATCGTCACAAACTTTTATGTATTCTTTCAGGTGTGGAATTCTGGCACCAGTATTTCTTAGTAGTTCTTTAGGCGTTGGTTACAAAGAGAATATAATAATCACTAGAATAAATGATGTTGCTGTTTGAAATCTCCTACTGTTGTGATTTAGGGCTATACAAAAATAAATAGAATTGAATAGAATTGCACGACAGGATAGTCTCACCATGAAGTGAGGCTGGGTAAGGATTCGTCGCAGCTCTTTGGCCTCCATGTTTTCAGGGTAACAAGAAATGGTCTCCAACACCTAGAGCGACAAAGACAAGACAAACATTGAATATGGCAGAAGATAATCACAAAAGAAATGTGGTAAATTGATCAATGTGATATTAAAACCGATAAAATGGGTCAACAGTGTAATTTAGGGCACATAGGTTTTTACAAAGGAACTAGGCCAAGTGGCCCGGATCATCGCCACAGGGGTGTGAAGACGGCCCGCGGTCACAAGTGTTTATTTTCTCAACCGTGCCAGACTAAGGCCCTGTTTATACTGAGATTCTGCGCAGACGTTTCCAGGCTATTAACAGAAACGGCCTGGCTCCTAATGCAAATTTCACAGCGTTCATACGAGGATCAAAAACGATGTAGTTCTAGCGCCCGGCCAGTAGTAGGCAGAGGAACTTTACAACACACACACGCACCCCCAGCCCCAAAAGCTCCCCGCTGAGCAGCATATCTGAGCTGTCCCACTCTGCAGGCTGGATCTGAACACTTAAGTTTTCACCCCCCTGGAACACAGTCTCCGTATGAACGGTTCGTAGCAACCAACATCCAACTATAGCGTTTTACTGCCACATTGTCTCTGTGTAAACGGCCCCTAAATGCGCTGTAGTACAATGCTTGGTCCAGCTGGTGGCGCTAATACTAACTGCAGCGACTACCTTGTTGTCAATTCTGTTTCTCTTCCTGTTTACACTCGGCTACAGCTTTAGCACGAATCGCGCTCTTTGCATCAGAGCAATGTGAACAAGTGTGAGATGTGTCTTTCTCCAAAAGCAGCTCAGTGGGTACACCGCAGACACAGGAGCACGCCCCTTTGACCACGGTCCAGGGGCTCACATGAAAGGTTTAACACAAGCAGAGAACACAAAAGTGCAGGAGAGACGTGTGTGAGAATGCACTTCACAGCGGGGACAGCAGGAAGACGTAATGTGACACACAATATCAAGTAGGGGTGGGAACCTAAGGGTACCTCACGATACGATACGATACAAAGCTCACGATAACGATATTATCACGATAACGATATTATCACGATAACGATTTTATCACGATATGACGATTATCGATATATTGGTCAGAAATATACAATATGCGAATTTATGGCATAAATAAAAGAAAAAATACACTTTATTTCATGATAAATTGAAAGGAGATGCGTAATGTAGCCATATATTAAGTATTGATACCAATTTTTTTTTTTTTTTATTGTAATTTGTAATTTTTTTTTTTCTTTTCAAAATCGATATTGATACTTGGCAAATGCATATCGATAATCGAATCGCGGGAGAAATTATCGCGATATATTGTCACACCCCTAATATCAAGTCCCCACCACACCTCATCCCCCACATTGACCCCCCTCATCTGGGCTTTAGAAGCGTGCCCTGGCCCACATCTCTCAACCGTGCTCAGGCCCACTTGCAGCAACCGTGGACAGGCCCAGTTGCCGCGGTCACACAGCACCTAAAGCCCAGATCTAATCACAAAGTGGACCCAGACCCACTTTAACTGGGCTTTAGGCTGTGCATGTGACTTGCCTTAGATTTTTTTAAATGCTAGCTGTTCTCACCTCTTTGGCCCTCTGGACTCCATCACTCGGAGGATTTCTGATCTGAGGCGACGACCGGGAGTTGATTTTGTCATAAAGCTTGAAGTAAAAGAAAAAAGGAACAATATTAAAAGTCCATTTTCTTTTGTAGAAGCAGAAGGTCTAATATTTCATTCTTGTGTCATTCTTTGTCCCAAATTATTTATAGAAAGGCTGTTGTTCTTACATCTAGTAGTGTGTGCAGGTGTTGGTCTTGGAAGACGCTGTGTAGAAAGTCCATGTCCTTCTCACTGCAGTCCGTCAGTGCGTGGATCTCCTCCAGGCTGTCCAGCACCTGAGACACTGCCCCTGATGGTCAAAGCGGGAACTCCAGTTAGTAAATGTATAGAATTATAATGCGGTTATAAAGGGATAATGCAAGATTTAATAGTTAAGGGACAATGTTCAGTTATTTCCATGGTTTGAAGTAGCACAGAGTAAATAGGATTTACTCTATATCATTTGGACGAGTGGATGTTACTCAAAGTAAACTAACAATTTCTTGATTAAAACAGACCCAAAGACAAAGTATTTAGACTAAAGTAGTGCTACTGTAATTATTGACGTTCACAAACTTTGGCAAATACAAAAAAGAAAAGCTAAACCAAAATAAATCAGGATTGACGAATTACATAATAAAAAATAAAAAAAGATTTAAACTATTTATTTAATCAGGTCAGAATAAAAACCGCAACATTAATCATTATTTATATCTTTCTCTGTGCTACTTCGAAACCGCACATGTATATTGGACATATTTATATAATTTTTAATGGAACAATTTTTTGATAATGTTGAACTATCCCATTTAAAAGACAAAATTATAAACATTTTGTCCTTAATAGGCACACTGTAAACTACACACATTAAACCTCCAACAGAAAAAATTGATTTGAAGAAGAAAAATGAAAATAAGACATTGATAGAATTATTCACACAAAAAGACAAATCCAAAGACGTTCTACCTGCTGTTTGCCCACACGAGCAGCGAAACCAGCGAAACCAGAGAAACAGTTCGTCAGAAGAGTTTAATTTGATTTGATTGGAATGGAGCGAAGGTGAACAGTGAAGGATATAGAAATGTGTCAATGTATTCTTGCAATGACTTTGATTTGAACATTGTGAGAGTGGAGGTGAGGTTTGCACAATTCAGTATTTTGAATGTATATAATCTTCACAAAGTTCTCATAGGGTTGTCTTCATGGCAAGAAGGTCCTGGGTTCGATTTTGCCTCCAGACATTGCTGTGTGGAGGTTGCATGTTCTCCCTTTGTCTGCATAGGTTTTCTCCGGGTGCTCCTGTTTCCCGTACCACCAAAAAACACAGATCTGGGATGCGCCTTCTGTTGGTGACGTCTTTGTTTTTAAAAATTAAAGTACAAATTATTATTTTGTACACTGCTAATTCCTAAAATTAACAAAATATAATGATTAATATATAGTTTTATTTTTTTAATAATGTGATATTGTGCAGATCCAGTGGTGAAGTAAAGTGAATTGTGGATAATGGTTTGAAAGGGCGAAGGATAAAAGATCCGTATAAAAGAAATGAATAAAAACAAAACCATGCACATGATCCTGTTCACAAGCATCACAGCAACAGGTTTTTAGAAAGGGTGAGTGGGATAATAAAAATAAAAAAACCTTCATGGAGGTTTTTTTTTTTTTAATGGTACAATGTAAAAAAAAAAACTTCACAGCAAACACAGGTGGGATACGTACTTTCTGCAGCTAAAAGTCCTAAAGGGAACAGCAAAAAAAACCATTAAGTGCAGTAGAAGTAACAAGGAATTTAACGGGAAAAATTCTCAAGAGCTGTGCGAAAACATATCAATAACTAAGCTATTTTTGACTAAAGAAATCAATAAAAATAAACAGAAAAAAGTCTGCTGAAAATTATAATTATTTTTATAATATTGTTTGTTGTACTTTAGAATTTAGATTTGGAATGACAGGTACATTTAAAGTTAAGGTTTAATAATAACTATATCAGAAAAATAAAAGGTCAAAATGCCAATGCACAACATGAAACATTTTATAGGAAAATATTTTTTTTTTACATGAATATAGGGCTTAAGAATAGTTACAAGGTTTTTCTATACCAGGCGATTGTAAGATAGTGACGTTATAACCTTGTTCAAATCCTAAACTATACATCTAAAAGAAATTCATTAAAACATTCAATTTAAGCGCCCAAATAATATACATAAAATAGAATATAGGAACTCATAAATATAAAACATAATACTAAAAAATATATGTATTAAATTACTATGTTTTGAAATGTTTAAATGACCTCAGACTGTTTTATTTACAGGTTATGACTTCTTGACTAAATATTTAGGATTGTATCATTATAAAGTAGGAACAATTGTAGCCTGGCCTTAACCATCCGTACACTCAGATCAATCATCATTTAATGTAATCTGTACTATGGTGTGGTACAACCAGACTTGTACAATTGTGACTTAACCAAAACTTTGTCTAAACCAGGACCAATTATAATTTCTGTAATTTATATCATTATTGATCTATTAATTGTATAAATGTGTATTATAAATTGTGACTACTGGACAGATTTGAAAACAGTTTGCACAGCCCTGGAGTACAAACATCAGAGGAAATGGTTAAGAAAAGAGAAAAAGCCAAAGAGGATGTAAAGCAAAGAGTGCAGTGACACTCAGCAGAAGATAAAGATAGAGCTGTGTGTCTGGATCGACTTCAGGCGTCGTCCAGAAGAACGCAGACTCAGCTCAAGTCAGATGTGAAGAACAAACACAGAGAGGTCTTTGAACCTGGTTTACTGGATCATTTCAAGAATAAATACATATCTTTAGCTGTATTTACACACACTGCATTCACTGTAGCAATGGCTTCTGCATTAGCCAAGATTTATTACAATCCAGTGTTGGCAGCTTAACACCATTTGGTTTACTTAAAGCTCGGGTGCATATCTTTTAAACCACAGAAATTGCAAATATTTATAAAAATCAGAATAAAAATCAAATATATTATAGACCCTACTCATGCCATAGTCTGTTGATAATTTCAAGTCTTAAGTGAGAGACCAGGGAGAGACCAAGATCAGAGACAGACCAGAAAGAGTCTAGATACCAGTTATTGCAACTCACTTTCATTATGTTTTTAATTGTGAAGGGCTTTGTGATGCTGGTCTGTGAAAGGCGCTATAGAAATAACTTTAACTTACTTACTTCCTCGCCCTCAAAACAGTTTTATCATTACTTTTCACATGCATGTATTTTGGGCCTGTGCGGTTTCTTTAGATCAGCTTTTCAGACAGGAAACTAGCTCTCAGCCCAAAGAGTCCAATAGTTAATCAAGATAATCAAGATAACTTTGGATAAAATGTTAACTATTCGACATTCAGGCCACAACATTCTGTTGTGTAATTTTCAAATGTGCTTTGTTTTTATTTTGATTTCTGTTATAAAAAACCATAACATTTGAGTTGTTAAATCTGTATCAGCTGTGATGTTTTTTTCAGTTATGACCCACATAGAGAAACTAAATGGTATTAAAGACCTTATGTATATATGTTAATACCATTTTAAATTGGAAATTGTTTCCAAAATCAATTGTTTTTTTGTCCGATCACCTCAAATTGAGAAAACACCATAGCAACGGCCTTAGCAACAAGAAAAAAACAAACCAGCCCTTCTCGCTCGATAATGTCACAGCGGGAACTGGAAGAAGATCTCCTCCATACTGAAAACGCTTGACTACATTCTGTTAGTCTGTTTTTTGCGGTGGAGTCAGTGGACATTATCCTTTCACTTAACTTTCTTAATGTTAAATCCTTCAGTTTTCTTTAAATCCACAATTTAATGCAACAAGCTCGTAGGGCTCCCGCTCAAAGTCGGACATGTGTGACAAGTGCATTTTTGAGCTCTTAATAAAACATTTTTCTGAGGGACACCCCAAAAACCCACTTCCCCTGGCAGTTGGACTGGTGTACATAATATGTTTATATGTGTAAGTGCTCACTGACAAAAATGTAATGGATTTTTTGTCTTTCAGTCAGATCGTTGTTGTTGACATTATTTGAAGTTCACACTTACAAGCCCTAAAGAAATGTCACAATTTTCTTCCCTTGTATACCCCCTTGAGCCTTTCAACATTTCGCCAAATTTCAGGCTTCAAACATAAAGATATACCATTTAAATTTTTTGTCATGACTCAACAACAAGTGGGACACAATCGTGAAGTGGAACGAAATTTATTGGATAATTTAAACTTTTTTAACAAATAAAAAACTGAAAAGTGGGGCGTGCAATATTATTCGGCCCCTTTACTTTCAGTGCAGCAAACTCACTCCAGAAGTTCAGTGAGGATCTTTGAATGATCCAATGTTGTCCTAAATGACTGATGATGATAAATAGAATGCACCTGTGTGTAATCAAGTCTCCGTATAAATGCACCTGCTCTTTGATAGTCTCAGGGTTCTGTTTAAAGACCTTATGCCGGGTTTGATTTATTTAGAAATACAGTTTTAATACCATTTTATATTAGAAGAGAACTACTAAAGGTTTCAAAATCAGTTGTTGTTTTTTTTGTCTGATCCCCCCAAATCGAAATAACCCCATAGCAACGCCCTTAGAGACGAAAAAACTTCACAACCCTTGGTGACGTCAGAGTGGGTACGTTTCAACGCTGTAAGTTGTTTACAATTTGGTATTCGTTCTTTTTTCGCGGATATTCAAGAGGACAAGGCCGTGTACAGCGAGTCTGACATTACTACTAGATTGTAACACTTCGTTGTCACTGAGATAGTCCAGTGGTTGTGTCGATGGACCGCCAATCCAGACATTGTGGTTCAAATCCCAGCTCAGACACTTTTTCACTCTCAAAACGGCAATTTATGTATAGTGAGCAATTGTCACCTGTAGAGTGCAGTATTGTGTTGGGCATCAGTGGAGAGAAGAGAGAAAAGGCAGTCCTGTGGCATAGATCCATGGTTTTCAATGCATGGGCGTTACCCGCTGTGACGTCACACACAGGTTAGAGCATAGACAACTTAAATTCATGAAAAACACGTTCTTTTTATAAAATCTAGGATTTTTTTTGCCGGAATCTATTTCAGATCGACATTGTCCTGCAATTTTGAGATCCACAATAAAAAAATAAAAAAACCCGGCATAAGGTCTTTAAAGCGCAGAGAGAACCATGAAGACAAAGGAACACACCAGGCAGGTCCGAGATACTGTTGTGGAAAAGTTTAAAGCCTGATTTGGATACAAAAAGATTTCCCAAGCTTTAAACATCTCTAGGAGCACTGTGCAAGACCCGGCCGTCCCTCCAAACTTTCATCTCAAACAAGGAGAAGACTGATCAGAGATGCAGCCAAGAGGCCCATGATCACTCTGGATGAACTGCAGATAACTACAGCTGAGGTGGGAGAGTCTGTCCATAGGACAACAATCAGTCGTGCACTGCACAAATCTGGCCTTTATGGAAGAGGGGCAAGAAGATATCCATAAAAAGTCTCGTTTAAAGTTGGCCACAAGCCACCTGGGAGACACACCAAAGATGTGGAAGAAGGTGCTCTGGTCAGATGAAACCAAAATCGAACTTTTTGGCCACAATGCAAAACGATATGTTTGGCGTAAAAGCAACACAGCTCATCACCCTGAACACACCATCCCCACTGTCAAACATGGTGGTGGCAGCATCATGGTTTGGGCCTGCTTTTCTTCAGCAGGGACAGGGAAGAGGCTAAAATTGATGGGAAGATGGATGGAGCCAAATACAGGACCATTCTGGAAGAAAACCTGTTGGAGTCTGAAAAAGACCTGAGACTGGGACGGAGATTTATCTTCCAACAGGAGAATGATCCAAAACATAAAGCCAAATCTACAATGGAATGGTTCACAAATAGACGTATCCAGGTGTTAGAATGGCCAAGTCAAAGTCCAGACATGAATCCAATCGAGAATCTGTGGAAAGAGCTGAAGACTGCTGTTCACAAACGCTCGAGCTGTTTTGCAAGGAAGAATGGGCAAGAATTCCAGTCTCTCGATGTGCAAAACTGATAGAGACATACCCCAAGCGACTTTCAGCTGTAATTGCAGCAAAAGGTGGCACTACAAAGTATTAGCGCAAGGGGGCCGAATAATATTGCACGCCCCACTTTTCAGTTTTTTATTTGTTAAAAAAGTTTAAATTATCCAATACATTTCGTTCCACTTCACGATTGTGTCCCAATTGTTGTTGATTCTTGACAAAATTTTTAATTTTTATATCTTTATGTTTGAAGCCTGAAATGTGGCGAAATGTTGAAAGGTTCAAGGGGGGCGTCAAGGGGGACGTTTACATGGCGTCATTTTGCCATGTAAACGTCTCATCAAGGTTTGATTATGGGTCTGTATTTGTCTCTTCTCTTCGTCCGAGGAAGTATTGGGCTCAAAAATGTAGCAAAAGGTGCAAGACTTCTTCTTGTAACTCTCTTTGCTCTTCATCTTTTTATACTCCGTCTGTAGACAAGGTATTTTCGAAATTGCAGTCTATTTCAGTTCCCGCTGAGACGTCAAACTTCCGGGTACGAGGCCGAGACAACACATATGTATTATGAACCATATTTTTCTATAAATTAAAAGGAAAATTTTTCCATGATTCTATTTCAGATTGACATTCATTAATTATTTGTCTTGCAATTTTGATATCCACAATTCTTTTGAAAAAACTTCCATAAGGTCTTTAAGATAGAACGCCATTAAGCTCCTGAATTTCACTATTGGTGGAAGAAAATTACCAGTAACAGCCCAAGAAGTTTTTAATCACTCTGACAGCTGACCACTTCAACACTGGTGGAAATGTGTGTCTCACTTTCTATTTTCAATTCTTTAACTAAACCGATGTATAAACATGTATTGTAAACAGCGTCTTATTTAACTTGAATTGTTTGTGTTTTGAGCAGAAGTGAAAGTTCCTGATGAGACGAGGAAGTCCTGATGCAACTTGGCTCCAGACGATGGAGAAATAGAGACAGTCTTGGTGAACCAGAGCCGAAACGCTTTTCTAATATACTTCATTTATTAGGAACAAGGCGATAGATGTGTTTGATCAGTGGGATTAAATAAAAAAAGTTTTCATTGTCATTTTACCTGAAGAAGCTGGATCATCGGTGAAATCGTGCAGTTCCTCTGGAGGATCCCCGTAATAGGAGTTAAACTTGTGGCTCGACACAGCGGCCAACACTGCGCCCTGGAAAAAAAATATATATATTTCAGATATAGATTGAGTCTTTGCCCAGAGAGTTCAAAATTCAGTAGGAATGTAAGATTTTGATAGGACTGGGCCACATGGGGATATTTACTCATTCTCAATATATCTTTTTTTGGCCTTATTAATTAAAAACAGGAGACATTTATAGTTCAATTCAAAACAGAGCACAATCAGCTGGTTATAACAAAAACACTGCTTAAAACCAGACTCAGGCTAGTTAGAAATTGTATACTTGAAGCTTGCTTTTTTGTCTAGTTATTGTTCATTTACAGTATCTTGTGCCGTGGGCTCCTCCTTCTACTGTTCTGTAACTGCTGAAACAACACTGACATTTCACCACTGTGAGACGAATATAGGATCTCTTAATGTTAAGATAAGCTCCCCTGCACCGTCAGACCATGTGACGCATATGTTGTCGTCATGGGAACGAATGATGAAAGAAAGATGTGGGTCAAACTATCAAAATACCAGAGAAACACAGATTGAATGTCGCTGATGCGCAGCTGCAGGAAATGACACTGGGTCTAGCAGAATGTTAACCAACAATTAACCACGACTTATTGATGCAAAGTGGAAAAGTGGTCAGAGGCACCACATCTGGTTCAAAAGCTGCATTTGTCAACGCACCATGTCACATTTAGACTCTGTGTCAGACTCAGATTCTGACTGCTCAACTTATCAATAAAGAGTGGTTTTACTGCAAATGGCAAATAAATTCTTGAATCTTGAAAGCTCAGACTCAGGCTTAGACTCAGACTATTTTAAAGACTACTAAAACAGTAACATAAGCAATATGAGAATGAACATCTGGTGCTAGTGTTTCTGATGTGGGATAATAAGTAGAATTGAACTTTGATTAAACAGTTTGACTTTGGAATGAGTTTATAGATATATTCTTAAGGTGACAGCTGCCCCCCTGATGCGGCAACGGATAAAGCAGAAGAGAATGGATGGTGTAAACACGTCCAACCAAATAGAAACGTTGTCTGCCATTGACGTGTTAACACGTCAATTGCGTTTCCCGCCATTTTCACGTTCCCAGATGTCTATCATATCTAATATGTATGGGGATTGGCTTGAGGCAATATTTTGTCGAGCCAGCAGATGGCAGCAGCGCTCTCTGAATGGTTTGAAAACAGTTAGATGCACTTATGCGTGCACTTATTTCTCAGCTTTCTGGTGATTTCAGTAAAACTCTCTACTCGACTGGGGATTACAGGGGAACGAAACAAGTTAGAAACAAAATTATTTTGGTATTCAGATAGTCATAGTACACAATATTCTGTGGGTCTTGAAAAATCAGTAAAAATCATCAGAAACAGCTGGCAATATGGCTGTACCTGTTCTGAAATAGGCTGGCAGTCAATGAGTTAAATATATATACAGTATATGCATTTTTCTTTTTAAATATTTCTATTATTATTACACATATATTTATATTATAATAATTATTATTATCATTAATATATATATTTTTATTTTGTCGATTTGAGATTCAATCCAAGTCCAAATGGGGTATAAACCAGGTTCTGACTAGGTCTAAACCAGGTCTAAACCTGGTCTAAACCTGGTCTAAACCTGGTCTAAACAGTAACATAGCAAATTCTAAGATCAAACTACATATTATTGCATCTCAGTTCATTCGAATGTGTGATCGCTGATGGCTTGACCTCGCAGTGGATGTTGTCAGTATGTTTCCTGAGTCAAACCAGTTCCTGTTAATGCTATAGACTTTGTGTTTTTGCTAATACCTTTAACTTCCTCCTGGCGTTGAATTTTCTCAGCTGTTCCACGCTCTCGGGCATGTGGATCTTGTAGGCGTACCTGTCCCTCTCCTGCAGAAAAACAACAATACACAGTTACAAAAGTGTGTGAAAATAGTGTTTTGATGAGCGGCCATCTTGGAATCATCTTCCATGTTTATTTATTTTTCTATAGACAATTCAGTATGTCTTAAATCCTGGTTCTGAAACAGTTGCTTCTATTTTTAGTTGTATGCATCTCTGGCCTTTGTCAATCCTTAACCCTTAAAAGACGATGCCATCGCCGACGATGGTTACGCACATGTTTTACAAGTGATCAATTTACTCGCGAACCGTAAAGCTAGCAACTTACTTTTTTTTCTCCGTGAAGTACACATTCCAGCCTTTCCGAAACAGGCTTCGGTTTGCATGTGCAATGCACGGAAGATAAACTGCGTGTGTATGAAAGTCAGTCCCCCAATCGGATCTTCGAGCGGTGCCCTGTGAGCTTCACACAGCCAATTGTAAAGTTGTTTACTCAAACGGGGACTCGCACAAAGATCATCAGAGAGTAGGATCTCTCACTCCTGTGTGTTTACTTGTTGCTGCATAGGCAGCAGCGCTCAGAGGAGCCAGGAGTGCACATTATTGAGAATAGACAATAATAAATACAGTAAAATGATATTATGTGTATATAATGTATTTGTATATATAAATTAGATGTTTTATTTATTTTTTTGTCTTAGTTTGTTTTGTTTTACGTATTTTACAGCTGTGATACAGAAGCAACCACAGCCTCATAGACAAACTGCTTGAGGAAGGGCATCAGGAGTACAGCGTTTTTGGCTTTTATAGTGGAATTTTGTAAAGATTATAATAGTCACTGGTTCAATATTTTTCCCCCTTATCCCCAAGACCATAAATAACATTTCTATGGAGTCTAAAAAGTTGTTTATAGCATTTAATTGTGTTTTTTCAATACAATTTTGTGAAATTGATTTTCCGTTTCATTTTTTTCTTTGTCTTCATGATTCCATAATCATTATATAATTAATATGACAGCTCCAAAATATGAATATTCTAAAACCCCAGGTTGTACTGAAAAAAACAAAGTATACTGCTTGACTCTGCATCAAAAGATGACTGTTTTATGAGCAATTTTACACAAAGAAAACCAGGCGAGGAAAGTTACCCAAAATGACTCTAGACCAGGCATGTCAAAGTCAAATACATCAGAGGGCCAAAAAAACAAATTTGCTGCGAGCCGAGGGCCGGACTGGTTCAATGTTTATTAACTCATTGCCTGCCTTCAGAACAGGTACTCCCATATTGCCAGCAGTTTCTGATGATTTTTATAGATTTTTCAAGACCCACAGAATATTGTGTACTATGACTATCTGAAATCCGAAACCAGATTCTGAAAGAATAGACTGTCTACTTTCATCAGCAAAAATAATTTTGTTTCTAGCTTGTAATCCCCAGTTGAGTAGAGGGAAGTTTTACTGAAATCACCAAAAAGCTGAGAAAAAGAGGCACAACAAGTGCATCTAGCTGTTTTCAAACCATTCAGAGAGCGCTGCTGCCAGCTGCTGGCTCGATATGCTCTCAAGCTTATCCCCAAACATATTAGATATAATAGACATCTGGGAACATGAAAATAGCGGAAAACGCAATTGACGTAATAGTGCGTCAATGGCAACGGGCCATGTAAAATTCATTCGCGGGCCGGATTTGGCCCGCGGGCCTTGGCTTTGACACATGTGCTCTAGACCTTAGAGGGTTAAATCATCTTTTTCACACAGAAAAGTTGAGTGTGTGTAGTGTAGTTCAAAAATCTGTCAAAAGTTGCTCAACATTTATGTGAAAATGGAACTAAAAATTTTGATCTATCCTTATAACGACTGCTATAAAAATAAGTTTCAAGATAAGAATGACTCAAGACTAGGTCCCAACCATGTCCTAGCATGTTCTAAATCAAGTCCGAATGGGAGATAAACCAGGTCCCAACCTTGGTCCAAACCAGGTCCCAACACCAGGTCTATTGGGACTATAGGTGAATCAAGTTGTTGACGATCTGCACTTTTTCCAACGTCTCACTTTTCCCACAGCGTCACTCAGTCCTCGTACCTTGAGCCAGGGGTGGTTGAGGGCTTCGTAGACGGTGATCCTCTCGGCTGGGTCCAACATGAGCATCCGTCGGACCAGGTCTTTGGCGCTTTCCGAGATGTGAGCCCACTGCCGAGGATTCATCTGTGGAACATCAGGAAGTGTGTGAGGACCCTGGACATGTATTCTGTGGATTCGCCCTCACAGCTCAGAGTATAGACATAAATTAAGATAACTTTTATTGTGTAACTGTATATATATCTATTGGGTAAATTCAATCCATTTATGACAGGATAAATAAAGTAGAGAAAGTGAGTATATTCACAAAGCTGTCAAATTATTCTGATGTCTGAAAGTCCCTTCTACTGGACAACATCATGCATTTGTTTTTGAATATTATCATCACGGTTACACTTACTGCTAATTTACACAGGAGGCGTTACAGCACGTACGCGTTATACGCGCAGCAGACGTGCGTAACATTTTTACATGTAAACCAATGGGGATATTTACACTACTAGTGTCATACGCGCGTATGACGGACGTATGACGCGAGGCTGCGCCTAATTTCTCCCATTGAAAACACATGTGAAACATGATTTTTGTAGCAGCCCTTGGCTTTAGATCACATCTACACACACACAGCACTTGTATCTAAACATTAGCAGGAGGACTGGAGGGTTTTACAGTGATTCTGGACATCGTTTTTTTTTTCTTTCATAAAGTCTCACGTCTGGCCAAACCAGCGCACATAGACCATGAAGACAAACACATGCATGTGATTTGTGTTGCTTTACATCAGTCCTCTGGCCCGTACTGTCCTCTACACTTCTCCATAGACTACACAGGGAGAGCATCAGAGGCCGCAGACCTGCGCGCACGGCCAGTGTACATACACCCAAATAATGTTACGCGCATATGCGCGCACTGTTAACGCCTATTGTGGAAATTCCCTGTTAGACAGATTTTATTGATCCAGAAGGGAAATTAGACACCTTTATTTGAAAAGAATGAGACCATAGTTGACCAGAGAGGGATCAGAGAGTGAGAAAGCAGAGAGACAAGAGAGAGACCAGAGTGAGAGACCAAAGAGAGAGCGCAAAGAGTGTGAGACCAGAGAGAGAGAGCAGAGAGAGACCGGAGAGAGACCATTGAGAAACCAGTGAGAGACTAGAGAGATACCAGAGGTGAGAGAACAGAGAGATCAGAGAGATCCGAGAGAGACCAGTGTGAGACCAGAGAGAGACAAGAACGAGAGTAGAGTGAGAGACCAGAGAGAAGAGAGAGACCGGAACGAGAGCAGAGACAGCAGTAGCTGTAAATGCTTCATAAGATCACTGAGTAAATATTATATCTATAGTGTAATTATGCACAAATCTGGATAAAGAAAGTAAAGTGACATTCAGTAGAGACACTTTTTATCGAGAAATTTGTGTTTTCTATGCAAAAGTTAGTGCTCATCTCTTCCCATATTTGATTATATTTCTATGGAGATGGGATGTAGTAGAGAATTTTATATGTAATTAATTGTATTCTTTATTATGGTCAATTAAAGCTGGGGTACGTAAAAACCACAACAATAGAACTATGTCATACAACCCATGTCTCTAGTTCCTGGCTTTTTTAAACAGTTGCTTCTGTCACTAGTTTCATGTATCGCTGTCTCAGTCACATCTTTAAATCAGCTTTTTCAGACAGAAAAGTGACAAAGAGAGGACCCCCCTCTGTCAGCCAATCAGCCCAAAGAGTCAAATAGTGACTCCCAGGACTTTCTCGTTCACTGAAGAACAGGTTTTTTCAGCATGTTGTGGTCTTACTTTTACAAGACTCTTTCTGTTGGAGATAAACTACATGTGTTATGTATGAAACACAAAAATTACAGACCCCAGCTTTAATTCACATGGTCAATGTTGTGGAGCAGACACACAAACAGGTCAGGAGGCTGAGAGTTTGTGATAATGAGGAAGTGTCTTTGTGGTGATTGGTGGAAGTTTCACATTACAACACAGGTCAGTCATTTGAGTGTTTACCACGTGTTGAGATTGGTACAAAAATTCCATGAACGATTGCTAAGAATACAAGTGAAAATGAAACATGTAAGACGTGGGAAATTGCTTGTGTTCTAAGAACATAAGTAACAAACTAATACTGTCGTCAAACGGTCAAAAACATCACAATTTCATTTTTATGAATGATAGAAACAGAAAGAAATTGGTGTGTTACATTTGACACTTTATTTTGTATTTCCTTATGCGTGTGTGTATTTGTGTGATGTGTGCGTGTTTGTGTATAGTGCAAGTATAGTGACCTTGTATTTCACCTTGATAACAACCTCAAACAGCCGCTCCTTGTGTGTGTGTGTGTTTGTGCGTGTATGTATATGGATGTGTGTATATGTATATGTATATGCATATGTGTGTGTATGTGTATAATTACCTTGTATTTCCCTTTGATGATGGCCTCAAACTGTCGCTCCTTGTGTGTGTATATGTATGTGTGTGCGTGTATATGTTGTGTGTGTATGTGTGTGTGTGTGTGTGTGTGTGTGTGTGTGTGTGTGTGTGTGTGTATGTTGAGTGTGTATAATAACCTTGTATTTCCCTTTGATGATGGCCTCGAACAGTCGCTCCTTGTGTGTGTATATGTATATGTGTGCATGTATATGTTGTGTGTGTATATGTGTGTGTCTGTGTGTGTGTGTGTGCGTGTATGTTGAGTGTGTATAATAACCTTGTATTTCCCTTTGATGATGGCCTCGAACAGTCGCTCCTTGTGTGTGTATATGTATATGTGTGCATGTATATGTTGTGTGTGTATATGTGTGTGTGTGTGCGTGTATGTTGAGTGTGTATAATAACCTTGTATTTCCCTTTGATGATGGCCTCGAACAGTCGCTCCTTGGTTCCGTAGAAAGGCAGACAGCCCGACAGCAGGATAAAGAGAATGACCCCGCAGCCCCACACGTCCACAGGCTTCCCATACGGCTCCCGCTTCACCACCTCAGGGGCCATAAAGTGAGGGGTCCCCACCCGGCCTGCACAGAGTGACTGTCAGACTGACCAACGATGACCAAGCCGAGCGAACCCAGATCATTGTTTGTCAGTGATTACATTCAAAAATACAGTACAGACCAAAGTTTCTCATGCAATGGGTTCCCTTTATTTTCATGACTATTGACTGTAGATTCACACCAGGCTGTGTAAGGGCTGTTTGACCAAGAAAGAGAGATGGGGGCTGGGCCAGATGACCTGGCCTCCACAGTCACCGGACCTGAACCCAATCCAGATGGTTTTGGGGTGAGCTGGACCACAGAGTGAAGACAAACGGGCCAACAAGGGCTAAGCATCTCTGGAAACTCCTTCAAGACTGTTGAAAACCATTTCAGGTCACTACCTCTTAAAGCTCATCAAGAGAATGCCAAGAGTGTGTGAAGCCGTGACCAGAGCAAAAGGTGCTACTTTGAAGAACCCAGAATATAAGACATATTTTCAGTTGATTCATACTTCTTTTTAGGTACGTACATAACTCCACATGAGTTCATTCATAGTTTTGATGCATTTAATTTGAATCTACAATTTTCATAGTCAAAAAATAAAGAAAACTTTTTGAATGAGAAAGTGTGTCCAAACTTTTGGTCTGTGCTGTATATAAGATAAGATAAGATAAGATAAACCTTTATTCGTCTCGCAGTGGAAAAATTTCAGTGTCATATATTCATGATATTCTGAATGTCCTTTTACTGTAACTGGACAACATCATGTACCTGTTTTGGTGCATGTCTTGTACAAGAATGAGGCTATAATTGACCAGAGAGAGAGAGTAGAAAGAGAGACCAGAGAGGGACCAGAAACGGAGACCAGAGAGAGAGACCAGAAAGAGGGCCTTGATGGAGAGAGACCAGAGTGAGAGACCAGAGTGAGAGACCAGAGAGAGACCAGAGAGGGAGAACAGAGAGAGAGACCGGAGAGAACAGAGAGAGAGACCGGAGAGAGAGACCAGAGACCATAGCTGATTCAGTATGTGCTGACAAAGATGTGAAACTTAGAGGTAGTTTTTGTTTCATGGGGATTGGTCCAGGGATTACAGAACAAATGGCTCCAAACTGTGACTAGAATTGGACTTTTGACTTTAACCATAGCATCCAGGACAGACGCTTCAGCTAACCTCCATCACAATGTGAAACTATAGGCTCTTTTGTCACATGAATAAAAACTACTGTCCTGTTTAGCTTATCAAATGTTTTCTCGACAGATCAGAGACAGAAGCTCAAACAAACCTCCAGCGACGAGGCCGGACTCTCCGAGCTGGATGGCGACTCCGAAGCCTCCGAGCTTCACGGGGGCAGAGTTCTCTTTGGAGGCCAGCAGCACACAGTGAGGCTGAGGACACACACACACAAGCAACAACCGGGTCACTGCTGGTTTACTGATGGTTTACTGATGGACAACTGGTCTATCATATTGAGCGAGGTCTTCTGCTTTAAGTTCTGCACAGATCAAGCAGAGAGAGACCAGAGAGGGAATAGAGAGAGAGACGAGAGAGACAAGACAGATACCAGCGGGAGACCAGAGAGAAACACAAGAGAGAAATCAGAGAGACCAAAGAGACACCAGAGTGACAGACCAGAGAAAGACAAGGGAGAGACTGACTAGAAAGAGACCAGAGAGAGGGACCAGAGACAAGAGAGGGTTCAGAGAGAGACAGAGACGAGAGAAAGACCAGAGAGAGCCAAAAACTACATTTTCTCTAACAAACTGGTAACCCATGAGAACCTCATTCTTGTCTCTGATTCAATAATCTCCTTGATTATGTCCAATGTATTTATAATCAAGAATAACTCCACTTTAACCTGTTCACAAAAGGTCAGATAGTGTGTGAGTGCGACCTGTATCTTGTGACACATATATGAAAGATGTAGATGTAATTTCAAATGAAAATACTGCAAACTGTCCCTTTAATCTCTTCCACGTAACCAAAAGATGATTTAAATGTGCTATTGAGCAGAGATATCATGTCGTCGTGCAGAATGTACTCAGAGTGTGCAAAATTTCAGGTTGGAAAGCATGCGTGTTAAGAAACTGAAACCACAAACTCAAGCTAGCAGTAACCACACGAAAGAGAGAAAAAAGTTAGCTAAGTTAGTTAAAGTTAGCTTGTGAAGCTAAATTTGTACCATTTATTTCAATATTATACTTAATTTCAAATTGGCTTTTTACTGTCTATGCACTTCATAGAATGCACAGTTAAAATGTTACAGTTCAAAAGAAATAAGCTCATGTGTGTGTGTGTGTGTATTTTGCATTGTATGAGTAAGAACAAGAACTGCTGTGTTTGACTGGATTTGTATTAATATATTAAATTATTGGCTGTTTTTATAGTTTATGCTGAGTGTGCAGCGCTTTGTTATCACTGTTTTTGAAAAGTGCTAAAAAGATTAGAATTATTACTTTTGCGAGCCTCTTCAAAGCCAATAGAGAGATAAATAGATAATAGAGACATCAAATTATTTGCTGAAGCTGAAGTTGCCTGATGTTTTCTTAATATTTTCTCCTTATAATTCTAGAGGATCAAAACTTTAAAATGATGTGGCTTATTAGTTTATTATGTGCTGCTGGGTGTGATGTCATCATTTTGCCAGTAGAAAACTAAAAGAATTGCAGCATTTGACTCCGATTTGTTGTAAAAGAGGCTGTATTTTGTCTGTGCTTTTGAGTATTTCCACCTGTTGCATGTGCGCGCTGGTTTGAACATGGGCTGAGTTGAAATCTTTTGATGTGTTCGCTCGGGGAAAGGAAGCGACTAAAGAGGAAGTTTGGAGAGAAGAGAAAAAGCACAGAGAGAAACAGCTGAACAAGCCACAGAGACAGAGAGCGAGGAAGAGGACGTTTAGACATCTGCCGACACAGACATGATCCAGAGAACACTTCTGTAGGTGAGTCCAGCTTTTATATCTCTATTTTATTAAAGAAAACAGACTAAAACAGTATAATAACTACCACAACACCCACACAGTCTCAATTTAACATTTAACAGTCTCAGTATGTTTGTGTACTTTTCACCTCTGTCTAATTGTGTTTTTCCTTTTTTTTTTATTGTCTGGTTATTTTTTTTGTCATTTTATGTCTTTTTGTGTTTTTGTTAAATGTCGATGCGTCTGTTTGTTTGGAATCAGAACAATGTTGTAAATAAGGGTGACAGAAAAAAATTGATGATCGCGATTTTAAATTTCAAACTGTATTTTGATACTATTTTGATATTATGGAAACTATTTATAACAACAACATTTTGTATATACGTAAAATATTGTAGTAAAACAAAGACATTTTCTTAAAATGTATTTCAACAAAAAATAATATTGATAATAATAATATGACATATTATGATTACTTTGAATATAAAGCAACTGGTCATTTATTATATTTAATTATTGTTATTATTTTTAATTTCCAGTTATAAATAATTCAATATCATTTGGTTACTACAATATTAAAGTATAGTCCACTCACAATTATACATTTGAAACTGCGACAAAAGCTTATTTCTTACTCAAACTGAAACAGATTTATTCCAGTTATTTTGTTTATTACGGAGGAAACCTTTCACTGTATTCACAAAACTTCCTGTAATAAACCATGAGAATATTATAATTTGTCTTTCTCATCTATATCTGCTCTATTTCTGATCAACTTCCATCCTCTTTTATGATGAGAATCGTATCAATGCATTTCTCCTTTCCCACCAACCCCCATCTGATGCAGCCCACAACACATGAAAACAAAAGGGCAGATTAAAAAATATATAATTCTGCCAGTTTAAATGTCTATAACTTACTATAACATGTCCAAGATAATAAGAATTTTCTGCATAAATCAGAGGTCTTTCTATCAACATTTATCATAAAAAGTAGTGTGTCACAGCTTAGACTAGTCATACTGTCAATCTTAAATATTGTAATGCAAAGTTAAAGTAATAAAACAGAATCTTTGACACGTATATTTGAATGACATAGAATACTGGGGGTTTAGGCAGCGGTTGAGGGTTGCCCTTTGAAAATGGTAATGGTAATTTCACGTTCAAACCTCAAACATGACCTTTAGAAGCATTACTCATTACTTAGTCACTCAACAGTGTCACAATTATGAGTCGTCTCCGCTCCAGTCTCTGCTTCAGTCTCTGCTCGAGTCTCTGCTCCAGTCTCTGCTCCAGTCTCTGCATTAGTTTAATCCTGGTTTTGAGACTAGATTTTGCTTGTTCCCAGTTGAATTGCCTATTTTAATATGAAAACTGTTGAAAACTCTTTTATTTTCTATTTCTTTCAAGTTCAAATGACTTTTTCATACATTTCAGAAATTGTAAACTTGTCCTTTCTTAGCATTTTCTCAATTAATAACATCACTATTTTGATTCTTTCTCTTCTCTCTTTCAGATCCTTTTAATAACTTCCCAAAACTCAGAGCCACAATGACCTCCAACTCAACCATCAGCTCCTTCATTCCGTTGACATCGTCCAACACCACTTCCATTATCACCAGCCAAACAACTTGCAGCGACTTGAACGAGACTTTTAACATGATTCTAGTCATTTTCTACTCTGCGTTTTTCATTTTTGGACTGATTGGGAATCTCTTTGCGTTGTGGGTGTTCATTTTCCTCCAAGCAAGTCGAAACTCTGTCCGTATTTTCCTCATAAACTGCGCAGTCGCTGATTTAGTCCTTCTCGCTTGCTTGCCTTTCCGCATTTTTTACCACGCCAACGAGAACCAGTGGTTGCTAGGGTCGGTGACATGCAAAGTCATCGGCAATGTGTTCTATATGAACATGTATATTAGCATCGCGCTACTGGGATGCATAAGCTTGGATCGATATTTGAGATTACGGGGGAAAGGGAAAGCCAGGCGAGGCTTGAGAGTGCATTTGTGCGGCAAGAGCTGGCCTTGGAGTTGGGTTGTGTGCGCCGGCTTGTGGACTTTCTCTATCCTGGCGCTTATTCCGATGGTTGCCACGAAAGAAGACAAAGAATTCAACAATAAATGCTTCCAGTACAAGCAGAGGAGCAACAACGGGAAGGGGAAAGCCTACTTCAATGGCGTTTTGGTCGTATTGTTTTGGATCATCTTCTTAACAATGATGGTTTCTTATGCGAGAGTAGCCGCGCAGTTGCTCAAAGTGTCCAGGGATAAACCCGACTTGCCGAACGCGCAAAGGTATCAGCGCACGGCAAAAAAGTCCTTCTTTGTCCTATTCTTGTTCACGATATGTTTTGGGCCATACCACGCGTTCAGACCGATCTACATCATGTCGCAGCTCAACAACATCTCCTGCGACTACATGCGTCTGATGGACCAGTCCAACGAGGTCATGCTGCTGTTCTCGGCATTCAACAGCTGCCTGGATCCCGTTATGTACTTTCTCCTGTCGGGATCCGTGAGGAAAACCGCCTTCAACACCATAGGACACGGACTGAGCTCGCGGCTCATGTCCGTCAACAATGCCACGTCCAACAGCTCCATCATGGACACCCGAAGAGCGTCCGTGCCCTGTGCTTTCCCCGTGAACGACTCGAACACTCGCAGCAGTGGGATTCTGTACAGCACCATGAGGAAGACCAGTTTAGTGGCTTCTACTGGTCACAAATGAGAACTACAACGCATACGGGCAGACTGAGTGGCTCTGTATTGTTTTAATGCTGTGTTGAAATTGGCTGTAGTCCTGGATTAATCTTCTAATATTTGAGGAAACTTTGTAAAATCTGTAGACCTCCTCATGAACTAGTTCTCGGGTCTCTCTGGTCTGGACGAGCAGAGTTTGTTACATTAAAGAGCAGATTTATAGATAACTGAAAAATTTAACAAGAAAAAAGTTTAGGACGACAAGGGACTAAAATCCCCACAAAATCGGACCTTTGTGTGAGCTGTAGGTTCCCTGTAAATGTAAATGTGCACTTTATTGTCTCCAGATGTTGATGGTCAAGACTACCAGAGCTGGAGGATTATACCTAGTGTGGATGTTTTTAGTGGTAGGGGAAACCGGAGCACCCAGAGGAAACCTATGCAGACACGGGGAGAACATTCAAACTCCACTCAGAAAGACCCTGTTCTGACCGGGATTCGAACCCAGGACCTTCTTTCTGAGTGGCGAGAGTGCTATCCACTCAGCCACCCCTCTGTCAGCTGTTTTTGTTTACATTGAGTTCGATGGGACATTTTTCTGGGTAGCTCACGTGAATTTCCCCTATCCAGATATTATTATAGATCCATGTATCTCCCTGGTCTAGTCTATTGCAGTAAGATAGTGAGGGGTCTTGTTGAGTTGAAGCGCCCTCTACTGGCCACAAACACAAACTGTAAAAGAGACCAGACTCACAAACGAAGAGCTCGTATCACACACACGTGGTCTTGTGGCTTTAACCATTTAAGTCTATATTGTACAAACAACTTGGAAATATGTATTATATCATTGTGTAAATGGAAAAAAATATTGTTTTAATAAGTCTCTTTTATTGCTAATATCTGTTTACTTGTGCCTTAAACATGATGTTAGCACCATTTTATTTATAACTCAATTAAATGTATAAACTATATATGTTTTTACAGCAGCTGTAAATAAAGTACACACAAAAAATACACTTTGGACTTGCTTTGTAAGTCACAGCACAGTGCAGCCAGAACTAGAGAGAGACCAGAGACCAGAACGAGATTACAGAGAGAGACAAGGGGGACCAGACAGAGACTGGAGGAGCGGAGAGAGGCCAGAGAGAGACGAGAGAGCGAGACCAGAAAGACCAGAGAGAGAGAGACTTGAGAGAGACACCAGAGCGGCCAGAGAGAGTCTAGTGAGAGACCAGAGGGAATTGCATTATAATAGACTATGGCATACCAATTTACAAAATTATTTTACAACTTTAAAAAGTTGGGTCGTATTCAGTCTCTGGTCTCACCTTCACGTCCCGATGGATCACGTTGTTGTCGTGACAGTATCGAAGAGCTTCCAGGATCTGCCTCATGTAATGACTGTGAATCCACAAAAAAACACTGATCATTTTAACCATTTTGAATTGAATTTGAGTTTAAAGAATGAAAGGCTCGTCTTGCCTGGCGACCGCTTCACTGTACACGAAGCCGGCGTCTGCTCTCTTCACGATCTCGAAACACAGGTCTGCTCCGTCCATACTGAGGAGAGCAGACAGACTTTAGCTTTGGGACAAACTGGAGGAAAGATGAGATCTGATGTCTGCAAAAAGACTGCTAGTCCATACATAGTCTCAACTGGTTCCTTTGACATACCAGGTTAGCTCCAGGACTGATGATCCAAATGGTCTCACTGGTCTCTCACTGGTCTCTCACTGGGCTCTGACTGGTCTCTCACTGGTCTCTCACTGGTCTCTCTCTGGTCTCTCTCTGGTCTCTCTCTGGTCTCTCTCTGGTCTCTCTCTGGTCTCACTCACCAAATGTGATAGGTTTTCCAGTTTTTTTACTGACTGTATGAACGGCTTATCTATGCATAAAGAATCTTCATCACATTTCTTAAAACTTCTACTATACACAAGTACACACTAAGTACAATAGACATTTAACAGTGCAGATTTAAGTGACGGGATCTAGGATCTAGTGTTCATGAGTGCCTTAAAATGACTTTACTCAGTTGAGGCCGCAAGAGGTGAACCGTAAAATAGCGAGGGGGACCATTGTTACATCCATCCATCCATTTTCTACCCCTTAATCCATTTCTGGGTCGGGGGGGTGGCAGTCAGAGATGCCACCCAAGTCTCATAGCACCAGCCCCTCACTGATCCTCTGCAGGTGGAGAGTCCACAGGAGGACGGCTGCTCTGTCAATGTGAGCATAGCCTTGATCTCTCAGTGGGGGCTTTGGGCAAAGTGGGGTTAAGTGTCTTGCCCAAGGACAACCATTGTTACAGTTCCAGGTAAACTTTGGTGGTAACTTTCTACAGGAGTTATCAAAGACCATTGTGATGACGGTGATGATGAACACATGTGAGAGAAGTGACGAGCAGCGGACTCACAATTCAAAGACCATGTAGAGCATCCCGTCTGAGCTGTAAGTCTCCAGCAGCTCTACGATGTGTGGGTGCTTCAGCATGTGACAGATGCTGGCTTCTCTCTTCAGATCTGGCAACACACAACGAATGTACGGTTAGATTTACAAACAACGAATAGACACTCATTCTACAACAGACGCATAAAGTTATAAAGTTTCACCGCATAGTAATAGTATAAAGGGGAAGATGGAAGAGACACACCCTTTGGCACAAGGCAAACTAAACAAAGGACCTGGTGAGGAGAGGGAGGAGAGGAGAGAGAGGAGAAAGGAAAGAGGGGAGAGGGAGTGGAGGAGAGAGGAGAAAGGAGAGAGAGGAGAGAGGGGATAAAGGAAAGAGGGGAGAGGGAGTGGAGGAGAGAGGAGAGAGTAGAGAGGAGAGAGGGGAGAGAGAGGAGAAAGGGGAGAGAGAGAGGAGAGAAGAGTTTGGAGAGAGAGGAGAGAGAAGAGAGAGGAGAAAGGTGAGAGGGGAGAGAGGAGAAAGAGAGGTGATAGAGAGAAGAGAAAGGGAAGAGAGAGGAGTAAGGAGAGAGGAGAGAGGGGAGAGAGAGGAGAAAAGAGAGAGGAGAGAATTGTTAAGAGGGGATAGAGGGTACAGTAGGGGAGGACAAGAGATGACTTAAAATGCTTGTTTTTTTTCAGAATACACTGAGAACAAAGTACACATTATCACCAGCAGAGAGCGCTAAAGGCCTATAGTGGATATCTGTACTGCACCAACTAGTCACTCCAAACAAATGTTCTTGTATTTGGATTAAACATACAATTAATGACCTGAAGAACATACATTTCTATTTTGCGGTATGCTCCAGACCAAAGGAGCTGCAGAAGTCAAAATGAAGACTTTTTTTCATGTTATTTTTTAGGGACAATTTAACCAACACAGATTTGATGCCAGCTCTTTATTCTACTCTCGGCCAGTGTTTTTCAACCAGTGGGCCCCGGGACATTAGTGTGCCTTGAGATGTTGTTTGGTGTCTTTGGAGATGATTCAATATCACCACATTGCTCAAAAGAATGTGGAAAGAAAATAATGGGAGAAGAGAACAACCAAATGCTCAATTATTAAAAACTGCAGTCATTATAACCCATCAGCTCCATCAAATATGAAGTAGAACAGTTTCCTCTCTTTGTGATCAGACACAGGAACCCGGCTGCTCTGGTCTCTCTGGTGTCACGGCGACCCGGTCTTCTGCGTTTGATCCAAAAGTTGGATCTTGAGCGAAACAATGGCCCAATGTCCAGAGCAGCAGACAGAGCATTACATAACTCTTACAGTAAGTACGGAAGCAGCAGCTTTTGTTGTTGTTTTTTTTTTAAAAATGGTTTCTCTTTTGGACAGTTCCCCTTCTCCACAGACTGAAACCATAACTGAAATGATTTATAATGTATTTGATTTAATGTATATTTTGGTGTGTCTAGTTTGTCAGATGCAATTGCTGCATCTGTGCAAAATGAAGCAAAAAATACATTTGTTCGAACCAACTCTCTTTCCCATTATAGTTCAAATAATGGTAAATATCTGAAGAATCCAATACCTGGAATTTCTCTCTATGGTCTCTCACTCTCTGGTCTATCTCTGTGGCCTCTCTCTCTCTCTCTCTGGCCTCTCTCTTTCTCTGGCCTCTCTCTTTCTCTGGCCTCTCTCTCTGGTCTCTCTCTCTGGTCTCTCTCTGGTCTCTCTCTGGTCTCTCTCTGGTCTCTCTCTCTGGCCTCTCTCTCGGGTCTCTCTCTCTTAAGAGGAGAACAATACTTGGGCCATGTCTCTGAGCTGGAGGACAGCTTTACATTGTAACCATAGATAGTATATGGATGGGCAGATGGACGATGCTAACCTGAAATGGAATGACATGATAATAAACTGGTGGATCGTTGAGGCTCATCTGTGTCATGTGAAAAGCTCTTTGTGTGATTTCTGAGGCCTAAAGGTTAAAGTTCAACTGAGAATTTCTTCACAAAGACGACACTGTGAAGAATTTAACAGAAGTGAATGGACACTGGAAAAACACATGGGAATATTTATTAGAAATCTACAAAAAGGGTTAGTGGGGGATAGGGCTGAAACAACTAATCGATTAATCGACGACTAATCGATTATTGAAATAGTCGACAACCATTTTAGTAATCGATTAATCGTTTTCTGGTTCACACGGACTCAAACAGAGCAAAAATGACGTGAAAATGTAGTATTTTTGATTAAAACCGACTTTGTTTTTATAATTTCATGAATATCGGTCTGTCTCATCCAATCAGATAGCAGAATTAGCACAAAGAGCCTGTTACAAACTGTTACTCCTCGAGTGTTGCCACTTTTTTTCTACACAATTCACAGCCAAGCGATTACTCGATTAATCGTAAAAATAATCGATAGATTAATCCATTACAAAATAATCGTTAGTTGCAGCTCTAGTGGGGGATAAAAAGGGTGTATTACATTATCTGGACCAGTCTCCAGCCTAGTGGTGGAATGTGGTACTGCTGACTATATTGCCCATGTTTTCATAGCTACTGTTCAAATCACAATGGGATAAGGGAGCTGGATTATAGAGCTGGTATCCAGTAATGACAAAATCGTACCCAAAAGAGTCTGGTCTCTCTCTCTCTGGTCTCTCGCTCTAGTCTCTCTATTTGTTCTCTCCTTGGTCTCTCTCTTTGTTCTCTCTTTGGTCTCTCTTTGGTCTCTCTTTGGTCTCTCTCTTTGGTCTCTCTCTTTGGTCTCTCTCTAGTTTGTCTCTCTCTCTCTGGTCTTCATGACAAAATCAAACCCCAAACACGTGAGTAAATCGCTTATGAAGAGAGCGATCCTTAAGACGTATCTCTGAACTGGAGGATAAAGGAAACAGTTTCCAATTATGTGTGCAGCTAGGTTTAGAGTTGTATTTTAGTAGAGCTACAAACAGAAAAACTAATTTTAGACAAATATTGTTTTATTTAAAACTCACAGGTGGACTCACCACCTGCAGGAGGATCAGGGAGGGGCTGTGCTCTGTGTACTGAGGGCATCTCTGACTGCCACCCCCCCCAACCCAGAAATGGATCAAGGGGAAGAAAATGGATGGATGGATTGTTTTATTTAAATGAGATACAATGAGGTCTGTAGCTGTGTATCTCAGAATCTGCTCTTTGTAATCAGATGAAATGCTTTATTGATGTCCTGAGCTGCTCTTTAAATAGTCCTTTTTTAATAATTCATGCCATAATTAAAGCATGTGCGGCGTGTGTCGGCTGCTCCGCTCCTGTGGGCAGTTTCCATGTCCTGCAGCTTTGGCTCTGCTCTGTCTCTGTAGATCTGCAGATGGTCCAACACTCAGCCAACACTCACCTCAACCAAGAAATTAGCAGCGGCGGGACAAAAAATCTACCCCAATAATTGTAATGTCTTTGAATAATATGAGGGACGTGAATAACAGCATATCGCAGAATCGAAGCGCAATGCTTGATTCTTTATTAAGTAATTTCATTTTTGTATCAAGCTATTGTTCATGTCTTTTGCGCTGTGTGCGCCTCATTCCTACTGTTCTGTAACCGGTGATGCAACAATGTAATTTCCCCGCTGTGGGACGAACAAAGGATCTTTCTCTTACCTGCTGTATCGCAATATGTTAAGAATCACAATAATATAAACATTGTGGCCCAAATATATAGAGACTGGTGTCATGAGACTTGGGTGGCAGCTCTGATTGCCACCACCCCGACCTGGAAATGGATCAATAAAGGGGAAGACAATGACACATGGCCGAAATATTGCAATACTTTCAAAGCGTCACATTTTTGCCAGTTCCCACCTCTGGTCTCTCTCTCTGGTCTCCCTCTCTGGTCTCCTTCTCTGGTCTCCCTCTCTGGTCTCCTCTCTGGTCTCCCTCTCTGGTCTCCCTCTCTGGTCTCCCTCTCTGGTCTCCTCTCTGGTCTCTCTCTCTCTGGTCTCCTCTCTGGTCTCCCTCTCTGGTCTTCCTCTCTGGTCTCCTCTCTGGTCTCCTCTCTGGTCTCCCTCTCTGGTCTCCTCTCTGGTCTCCTCTCTGGTCTCCTCTCTGGTCTCTCTCTCTCTGGTCTCTCTCTCTGGTCTCTCTCTCTCTGGTCTCTCTCTCTGGTTTCTCTCTCTGGTTTCTCTCTCTGGTTTCTCTCTCTGTTCTCTCTCTCTGGTCTCCCTCTCTGGTCTCCCTCTCTGGTCTCCCTCTCTGGTCTCTCTCTCTCTTGTCTCCTCTCTGGTCTCCCTCTCTGGTCTCTCCTCTCTGGTCTCTCTCTCTGGTCTCTCTCTCTGGTCTCTCTCTCTGGTCTCTCTCTCTGGTCTCTCTCTCTGGTCTCTCTCTCTGGTCTCTCTCTCTGGTTCTCTCTCTGGTCTCTCTCTCTGGTCTCTCTCTCTGGTCTCTCTCTCTGGTCTCTCTCTCTCTGGTCTCCCTCTCTGGTCTCCCTCTCTGGTCTCCCTCTCTGGTCTCCCTCTCTTGTTCTCCCTCTCTCTGGTCTCCCTCTCTGGTCTCCTCTCTGGTCTCTCTCTCTGGTCTCTCTCTCTGGTCTCCTCTCTGGTCTCTCTCTCTCTGGTCTCCTCTCTGGTCTCCTCTCTGGTCTCTCTCTCTGGTCTCTCTCTCTGGTCTCTCTCTCTGGTCTCTCTCTCTGGTCTCTCTCTCTGGTCTCTCTCTCTGGTCTCTCTCTCTGGTGGTCTCTCTCTGGTCTCCCTCTCTGGTCTCCCTCTCTGGTCTCTCTCTCTGGTCTCACTCTCTGGTCTCTCTCTGGCCTCTCTCTCTGGTCTCTCTCTCTGGTCTCCCTCTCTGGTCTGGTCTCTCTCTCTGGTCTCTCTCTCTGGTCTCCATCTCTGGTCTCCATCTCTGGTCTCCATCTCTGGTCTCCATCTCTGGTCTCCATCTCTGGTCTGTCTCTGGTCGTAATGACAAAATTTAGCTCAACATTGAAGGTCGATGTGACTACTAATTAGTTCAATGGCACATGATATTCCTTTTATTCTTTGGAACATTTTTCGGGTCTTAAATTAGCCGAAATTTTCCAAACAGGATTTTACTCCATATGATCAAAGGGAACGTTTCCTTTTGATCACACATTTGATCAAAAGTGGCCTGTGCTTTATCTGATTAGCTCATGTCGCTAATCTGGTTGTAGCAGAGTGGCCCGGTTTGAACTGCGGGTAATCTGAGAATTTGTTTTGGTCACATTTGGCACCACAGGTGGGTGGAGTTAAGCGAATCAGGGCACCAGGGTCAAATGCACTTAATGTTATTTACACCACAGGCCTCTTTCTGTCTGGCTGCAGTGAATTATAAGTCATTGTTAGAGCCATTTGTCCATTTTTATATTTTTTTGGGACAATCTAATTTTGTCAAGCTGCGTATGGAGTCACCTTGCTGGGAGAAGCATGGTCCTCTTCTCTTCTTACTTTATCTGTAATCATTATGACTTCAGCTGAGGTCTGCCTGTTTTTTCTTTCACGTTTGTACAAATACAGCTGTTATATCATGTTTTGGTTCAGTCCTGTTGTGTAGCTCCTGTACCTTCTGTGCTGAGTCCGGGGCTGGAGGTGAAACTGGCCACGTCCACGATCTTCACCGCAAACTGCTGCCCGGTGTCTCTGTTGATGCATCTCCGCACCACGCTGAACGGGCCCCTGGTGAAACGCACAGTCAGTTCCATAAAAAAACATGTCCTGGATCTGGTCAACTATTACACGGCTCAGTGATCGAGATTCGGTTCATAAAATCCTTGTTTAAACCTGGGGGAAGTCATAAAGATGAAATGGGGGGGGGGAGTTCATTCACTTGGATTCCTGTGTTTCATACAAGTAGCTCCAGATCAATGAAGAGTCAGTAACATGAACTAAAATCAATATGAAAATCCAGAGAGGACAACGCTGATCCAGGGAATAAACCAGAGACTAAAAAAGGACTCGAAAAAAGACTGAACCAAGTCAACAGGCCTAAAGCAAAGACAGAAAGACTAGACTACCGCAGAGAGCTCAACGACATACTGTGAATGAGATGGGTTCTTTTCCACAGACTCGGGTCAAATAGGTGTGATTGGAGTTTGAATTAGAAAAGAGTGGACAAATGTATCAGAGCAAAGTGAAAAGTCTTAATGCTAAAAGAATATCCAAATAAAAAAAAACAAAAAAATATTCACAACACTAAAATGTTCTTCTTTCTGGATAGAAAAGTACCTGGAACCGTTTAAACAGGGCAGGTGGAAGCACTCCCAATTGGGGTAGAGTAGAGAGGAGCAGAGAGGAGCAGAGAGGAGTAGAGTAGGGCCATGTAGGGACCAGCTCCTTGTGACTGGACTGGTCTGGATTGTTTTTTTATTCCTCGATCAATGAAAGCACAAGTTCACATACGTCTTTTTGATCAAATTGGAGTAGGTGGAAGAGTCAGAACAGTCCCCAATGAAAACACCGCTCCCGTCATACAGGGATCGGACAGATGTGGATGTCCTGGATGACCAAAATCACAATTCTCTTCAACTCTCAGCCTCTATTCCCTCATCCCCGGAGGATGAGGACTAAACTCAGGCTAAAACCGAATTATTTACAGTGAACTGAAAAGGCAGAGGTTAAATTACAGAGCCCACTTCAGCTGCAGAAGCCTAAACACAGACTGACGGCATGAACGGACTTTTAAAGGGATTATTTAGAGAGGAATGAAGATGAGGCAGCGAAGGGGTCCACTTCACAGCAGTACAATCACAAAAAATCAACTCATAGAAGGCACATAAGAAGAATGCATCTTTACAATTATATTTAGATTGAAGATTGCTAGTATTTTAACACAATCAAGTTACAACACACGCTCTTTGAAGTTATGGTTCTGACACTTACGCTACTGTAAAGAAAATTTGCAAGACTGTAATCGGTTTGCACCTGAAGATCCCAGCGAACTCTAAGGCTTTACAACGTGGACTTTCCGTGGTCACGCACTTGTGCTGAAACCGCTGAAAAAGCCAAACCATTTGCCTCCCACATCTGAACAAACAACAGCGTGTGGAAAAGAGGCGCGAAAGTGAAAGAAAACCAATACTGTGGAATCCGACGCCATCCGTGAACTCTGCCCTCGGAGAAACAGCTGCGGATCTCATTAGAAATATTGAGAATGTTAAAAGATGGAGTGAATAATCATGTGGGGTTAAATCCAATTGGCTTCAGAAAGTTCAAAAAAACTCATAGGGTTTTTGACATTAAAAAAACAAATTATATTGAACGAGGAAGATGTGATATCCAGATCCCGACAGACTTCTGAAGCTAAGCAGGGCAGGGCCAGATTAGTGTGATGGAAGACCTCTGAGAACACCAAATGCCACAGTGGGGCGGCTGCGGCTGTAAAGTGCCAACCCTTTGCTGTGTACTTAAGCAGGACACCCACATTAGAATGAGTCTGGTGTGTATGTGCGAATGGTTAGTGGTGGTGTCAGGGGCTGATGGCACAGACTGGTTGCCTCGCTTCTGTTAGCGTGCCCCAGGGCAGCTGTGGCTACAGTAGTAGTTTACCCCAACCAAATATGGAATGAATAAATAATACAGACATACAGTATGAAGTGTCTAGAATAGCACTTAATAAAAATGATGCATAATTATTTGTATTAAACTAGCAACTACGCTTCTATGAATCCTTAATGGACAGAGGTGCAAAGGGGAAAAAATAGAGGTTTACAATAAAAGTGAAAATGCAAGATATCCATGACAAACTGAGGGATTTTAGGGACCCAGTTCATTGCAGACAGAAACTGGGGCGATGTCAGCTCTCCACTACTAAACGAGACACATTGAAGACATTTTTGGTTGTTTGAATTCAGCTGGAATCATTCTAATCCTTCCCGTCTCTTGCCCCCATACTTTCACAGTTTGTCAGACACGGGTGCGTTTGGTTTCGACATCACTGCAGATGTTGTGAGTGGGCTTTCACCAAACGCCCCCATGCTGCCTATAAAGCAGCAGCGAAGCCCAAAGTGCCAATTTATCATTCCAGCTCCAAGAGTAACCAGCGCTGTGACTGCTGTTTGAAGATCTCATTTTATACCACTGGAGGGTTCCAGAAGGGGAAAGGGGTGTTCTATATTTAAATAAGAAAAATAAGAGTCAACAATATTCATAAATCCTATATATCCTTCATATATATGATGATAATAATTCACTAGTCACTTTACATGTTATTATTATTACTACTACTGCATTATTGCACATCCATCCATCTGATATTTCTCTCATTCATTAGTCACTTTACCTGCTAATATTGTCACTATTGCTAATTCTACTCATATTCTCCGCTGCTAAACTACAATATACACATTTGTAAATACTTCTGAACCAAGTGCAATTATATCTCCAGATTTTTTTTTATTTTATTCTATTTTGCCATCTTATTATTTTATTGTCTATTATCTTAAATAATAGACGGTTTTATGTGTGCAATCTGAGTGCTCTCATTTTTGCCTTTTTTATTTGCTGTAACGTGTGCAACGATGACACTGAAATTCCCCACTGTGGGACGAATAAAGGAATATCTTATTTTAGCTAACATTCTCCTATGAAAGAAAAATACATATTTTTAAAATAAGTTATTTTAAGAGTCAAGGGTCTTGTTCACAAGTCAAGAAAGGAGTGTGAGACTTCTGTGGTCGAGAGGGAGCAGTGTCTGCAGTCAGAGCTCTCAACAATCCTCGTTCCCCCTCACCTCTGGTCATGAGCTTTGGGTAAAGTTTTAATGTTGGTTCTCAGCATAAATAACACAGCCAGAGATTCACAGAGTTTACATTGTTTTATACCAGGTCAAAATACAAAAGCTCATCTCAGAAACAGTAGTTTGATCTTCAGACGAGACTGCTGACTGTTGATCAGCTCAATATTTACATTGTTCTACAAAAAGTCTAATAAAGAATCCATTTAGATCAACTGTGGTCTTTCTTGGGGTGAGCGATCTAAAAGGTAAATTTATTGCAGTGCAATTATTTATTTTTTAAAATTGGCTGTATTATAACAATATCAGGTAATTTAAGATTAGCCTTCACTAATTAACAGCTAATCAAGTGCTACATTGTGTACCCTAACCCTATTCCTAGCCTGGCCTTAGCCATCCATAAACCCTAATCAATTATAATTTCCCTGCATGTACTGTCTGGGTCTAAAACCAGTGTCTGCAGTTACATCAGTTGAATCTCATCCGACCAATCAGGGAGCGCAGGAGGCGAGAGTTGTAGGTAGATGTGGGTGACGTCAAGAATTGGCAGGTTGTAAGGCAATGGCGAAGAATGTGATAGTAAGGTAATGCGTTCTGTTTCTATCCAGAAATTGAAGCCGGAGCAAGAGGAATGTTCAGTATAATTGCTGGCAAAGATTGTTGCGCTACTCCCCACGGGCTCCGTTAGCGGCAAAGGAGATGGCTAGGCTAAATGCTAGTGACTCACTCGGGCGCATTACATACGTCATGGTAAACTCAGATCCAATCGTTTCAATCTGAAAAATGAGTTAACCCCTCCCACCTGTTAACAGAGCTCAATGGAGAATGGATGAATCCATTTAGTACGATTATGTAATTTGTACTATGGTGTGGTACAACCAGGCTAACCCTATCCCTAACCTGAGCCCTAACTAACATGAGAAAGTGTCAGTTGGAAGTTATGATGAATGTAGAATAAGGACTAATAAGTGCTTAATGAATACCAATTAAGAGCTAATAAACCATAAATTATACACAAATTAGCACTTAATTATGTTAATTAGTGAAGGCTAAACTAAAGCGTGAGCCAATATCACTACAGAGACCAAATCTGCAGAAAAATGGGATGTACTGGGAGGAAAGCGGGAGGAAAGAGGGAATCTTGCACTTTTGATATCCATATACAATAAATACAATAAATCTGTAGTGTAAAGCCTCCTATTGCAGCAAGGAAAAAACGTATAGTAAATATATATTTCTATTTGGACTGTGTTTTAATGAACACGAATAACTGCCCCCGCGACCCGGCAACAGATAAAGTGGAAAGATAAACTCAAAGACATTTTTGGGGGAAACTTTAACAAAAATGTGGCAAAAAGAGACATAAATAAAAAGCAGAACTGCAAAAATAATGGATTCAATAAAATGTAATAAAACAACACAAAAAGTAACTAAATACGAACGTAAAACAGACGTGGAATGACGATGATGGAGCAGGGAGTGAAGACACAGGGTTTAAATACACACTACCAAGACACAGGTGAGACACTTGCGGGCAGGACAGGTAGACCAGACAACAGGAAGTAGAATTTTTTTTAAAAAGACACAGGGATGACAAATTTCAAAACAGGAAATAAACCTGACACCTGTATAGGATCTTGTTGCTGTGAGGTGAAACTGCTGCACCATACAAAGTATAATCGTCAAGTAAACTCATTTCTTCTACAACACCCATCAAACTCTCTTCAAAAAGGTGATTCACTTCAGACTGCTTTACCTCATAGCCTCTAGTGTCCTCCTTTCACCTTTTCACCTCCTCTTCACAAACAGCCAGTCGTTTTAAACCCCAAACATTTCCCATATTTTCATTTTACTTTCCAACTCCTCGCAATCCTCTGAGGTCTCTTCGTCAGAACAGAGCTTGCCCACATCAATCCTTGTTTATGCTAATGCCACCACGGCGTTC